AAAAGAGGAGATGCTGCTACCCACCAGCAGGCTTGACTCTCCGAGCCTCAGTCCTCTCTGTAAGCATGAGCCAGTCCTTCCTGGGCTGTGGGACCCCAGGAAGGAGGACGTGAAGGTTTGAGAATAATGTGATGAAACCTTCTGGAACAGGAGATGAGTGTGGTGCAGAGCCCCTGCCTCGGCCACCTCCTGACTCTGCCCTCCCTCGCAGCCTCTCTCCACCACCCACCAATGATTCCCCAGCACCCCTGAGGACACATCCGCAACGCCATTTGCAAGTGGCCGTGCGAGGCCACTCCAGGCCCCTTGCCGCTGGGTGACCTCATTCACAGACGCTGCGAATGCTGTAAGAGTGCGCCCAGCAGCTCGGGGACAACTGCACGCAGGCCGCCTCTGGCGACCCCCACCGGCCTCTACTGCACTTACAGTCGGGGGACTCCGCCCGAGGTAACACAATAGAGTTGTGCACGTAAGAGACCTTCCCTCCGCACCCCAGCACAGCCTGGCCCAGTCCTGGGCACACCACAGCGGTTTACCGCAGAGCTTTCTGCTCGGAGGTACCCCAGCCCAGTCCAAGGTCAAAGGCAGACTGGCTTCCTGGACGAGAGGGCTGCACTGGTCATACCTGCAAGGACACTGGCTCCTTGCTCTGTTCTTGGTCCTGAGGCACACTCAGGGCTGTCCCAGGGAAGACACAGCCACCACGAGAGACTAAGCCTAGTTTTTTTCTCCGAGTGGTAGCGATCCTTCAGCAGATGCTCACAGGTCCAGGGACTGCACATTCCACCACCTCTTTAAAAAAATACCCATGAATCCACTCCATCATCTATATCCCATCCATCATCATCCTCCATCATCCATCCCATCATCATCCACCATCATCATCATCCCATCCCATCATCCATCCATCCATCATCATTCATCCATCATCCATCTATCCATCATCCATCATCCATCCATCCATCCATCTCCTCTATCCATAATCATTCATCCATCCATCATCCTCTACTACATCCATCATCATCCATCCATACCATCCCTCACATCCATCCATCCTCATCCATCTATCATCCATCATCCATCCCATCCATCATCCCTCTATCCATATCATTCTCCATCATGAAATTTCATCATCCTCTTAATCCATCCTTCCATTTTCATTCTGCCATCCATCATCATCCCTGCTATTTCTATCCATCATTCATCCTCTCCATCATCTATCATCCATCATCCATTCATCTACCACTATGACAATATTGATTAGATACCTGCTAAGTGTTCTGACAACTGGGGCTAAGCTCCAGTAAGCAGAAATGAAACAAAAGACTGGATGGATGGATGGATGATGGATGGATGATGGATGGATGGATGGATGATGGATGGATGGATGATGGATGGATGGATGATGGATGGATGATAGATGGATGGATGGATTATGGATGGATGGATGATGGATGGATGGATGGATGATGAATGGATGGATGGATGATGGATGGATGGATGGATGGGTGGATGATGGATGGATGGATGATGGATGGATGGATGGATGGATGGATGATGGATGGATGGATAAATGTATGATGGATGGATGGATGATGGATGGATGGATGATGGATGGATGGATGGATGGATGATGGATGGATGGATGGATGGATGATGGATGGATGGATGATAGATGGATGGATGGATTATGGATGGATGGATGGATGGATGGATGGATGCTGAATGGATGGATGATGGATGGATGGATGATGGATGGATGAACAGACAGATTGATGGATAGATCAGCTAATACATATCTGAACTAGGGAAGAGGAAGTAGAGAGGTGAGGAAGGGACAGATGGAAGGGACATTGCTCAAGTAAGACTGAAGGTCTTGGTATCAATCCAATGCCTGGGGTGAAGGAGGAAGAAGAGTAGAGGAGGACTCCCGGGGCTCCTCATTGCTTAGGGTAGAATACAAGACAGGGAGCGAGGATGGAGTAAAGCAGATCTGCTTTATTTGCCACAGGGAGAGTTTGAGGCAGGCGTCCCGCCCTTGGAAGCATGAGGAGGAGTGTCCGGTGGAGGCAGCACTGGAGGAGGGAGGGGGCAGAAAGCCATCTGCTTGAAAGCTGCTGACAGTGGTGTCGCTGAGATGGCCTGATGCCGAGGTCTGGGGAGGCTGATATTTGAAGGGTGGACAGGAGGTGAGATGGGAGGATACAGAGAGGAGGATTGAGATGTGAGAGGAAAATTGGGAGCAGACAGTGCATGAGGACATTTCAAGAGGGAAATGTCTACTAAGAAAGTGGACAGGAAGGAGGGAAGAAATGGCAATAGAGCTTGGGAGTTCTAAGAACACAGAGTAATTTTCTAAAAGCTGTAAGAGCTTCAGATTGGGCAGGGACTGTGTAGGGCAGGCTTTCTCAACCTTGGCACTGGCAATGTCTCGGGCCAGACACTTCTTTATGGTGGGCCTGTCCTGTGCACTGGAGAATGCTTAGTAGCATCCCTGGCCTCTCCCCCAAGAAGCCAGTAGTACCCCTTCCCCGAGTTGTGACAACTAGTAACACCTCCAGACATTGCCAGTTGGAGCAGCAGCGCTGTGTGGATGGGAGGAGGCCCAGGGCAGCTGTCCCCCACTGTCCCTCTCAGGAGGACACACAAGGGTCACCAGGGCAGCAGGGAGGCAGAGGCTGTCTGCTCATTGTGTGTGGCCCAGTGACCCCATTCTGACCGAGCACAGGCAGAGCCCCTGCCTGGATGAGGCGACCCAGAAACCAAAGCCCTTTTATCCTCCTAGGCAGATCGCTGCCCGCCACCTGCCAATCTTGCAGGCCCAGCCCCTCCCAGCCCTGCCCACCCGGGAGTGATTCATGCCCGCACACCATTGCCCAGTCCACCACTCACTACATCTCCCCTGGAACCCTATTTCCCCGTCTGTAAAATGGAAATAACATCTTCTGTCCTGCCTATCTTATAGGAGACTCTGAGTGCAAAACAGAGTGTGTTGTAAAGAACAAAGCCCTACCCATGCAGCCATCATTATCCTACTGAGGAGTTTAGGGGTGGGGTGGGGATGGAGGAAAGGTGGGTGTGTGGGAACTTGGGGAGAGGAGGTGTGAGCAGGAAGAGATGGGTCTAGTAGAGATGTCTTTTTGTTTCATTTCTGCTTACTGGAGCTTAGCCCAGTGTCAGACACTTAGCAGGTATCTAATCAATATTTGTCATATTGGTAGATGAATGGATGGATGGATGATAGATGATGGATGGATGGATGAATGATGGATAGATAGAGGGATGATGGATGGATGGATGAATGATGGATGGATGGATAGAGGGATGATGGATGGATGGATGGATGAATGATGGATGGATAGAGGGATGATGGATGGATGGATGATGGATGATAGATGGATGGATGGATGGATGGATGGATGGATGATGGATGGATGAATGATGGATGGATAGAGGGATGATGGATGGATGGATGAATGATGGATGGATAGAGGGATGATGGATGGATGGATGGATGATGGATGATGGATAGATGGATGGATGGATGGATGGATGGATGGATGGATGGATGATGGATGGATGATGGATGGATGGATGGATGATGGATGGATGGATGATGGATGGATGGATGATGGATGGATGATAGATAGATGGATGGATGGATTATGGATGGATGGATGATGGATGGATGGATGGATGATGAATGGATGGATGGATGGGTGGATGATGGATGGATGGATGATGGATGGATGGATGGATGGATGGATGATGGATGGATGGATAGATGTATGATGGATGGATGGATGATGGATGGATGGATGATGGATGGATGGATGGATGGATGGATGATGGATGGATGGATGGATGATGGATGGATGGATGGATGATGGATGGATGGATGATAGATGGATGGATGGATTATGGATGGATGGATGGATGGATGGATGCTGAATGGATGGATGATGGATGGATGGATGATGGATGGATGGATGATAGATGGATGGATGGATGGATGATGGATGGATGGATGGATGATGGATGGATGGATGGATGATGGATGGATGGATGATAGATGGATGGATGGATAGATGGATGGATGCTGAATGGATGGATGATGGATGGATGGATGATGGATGGACGGATGGATGGATGGATGCTGGATGGACAGATGATGGATGGATGAACAGACAGATTGATGGATAGATCAGCTAATACATATCTGAACTAGGGAAGAGGAAGTAGAGAGGTGAGAAAGGGACAGATGGAAGGGACATTGCTCAAGTAAGACTGAAGGTCTTGGTATCAATCCAATGCCTGGGGTGAAGGAGGAAGAGGAGTAGAGGAGGACTCCCGGGGCTCCTCATTGCTTAGGGTAGAATACAAGACAGGGAGCGAGGATGGAGTAAAGCAGATCTGCTTTATTTGCCACAGGGAGAGTTTGAGGCAGGCGTCCCGCCCTTGGAAGCATGAGGAGGAGTGTCCGGTGGAGGCAGCACTGGAGGAGGGAGGGTGCAGAAAGCCATCTGCTTGAAAGCTGCTGACAGTGGTGTCACTGAGATGGCCTGATGCCGAGGTCTGGGGAGGCTGACATTTGAAGGGTGGACAGGAGGTGAGATGGGAGGAGACAGAGAGGAGGATTGAGATGTGAGAGGAAAATTGGGAGCAGACAGTGGATGAGGTCATTTCAAGAGGGAAATGTCTACTAAGAAAGTGGACAGGAAGGAAGGAAGAAATGGCAATAGAGCTTGGGAGTTCTAAGAACACGGGGTAATTTTCTAAAAGCTGTAAGAGCTTCAGATTGGCCAGGGACTGTGTAGGGCAGGCTTTCTCAACCTTGGCACTGGCAATGTCTCGGGCCAGACACTTCTTTATGGTGGGCCTGTCCTGTGCACTGGAGAATGCTTAGTAGCATCCCTGGCCTCTCCCCCAAGAAGCCAGTAGTACCCCTTCCCCGAGTTGTGACAACTAGTAACACCTCCAGACATTGCCAGTTGGAGCAGCAGCGCTGTGTGGATGGGAGGAGGCCCAGGGCAGCTGTCCCCCACTGTCCCTCTCAGGAGGACACACAAGGGTCACCAGGGCAGCAGGGAGGCAGAGGCTGTCTGCTCATTGTGTGTGGCCCAGTGACCCCATTCTGACCGAGCACAGGCAGAGCCCCTGCCTGGATGAGGCGACCCAGAAACCAAAGCCCTTTTATCCTCCTAGGCAGATCGCTGCCCGCCACCTGCCAATCTTGCAGGCCCAGCCCCTCCCAGCCCTGCCCCTCCCAGCCCTGCCCCTCCTCTGTCCTTCGAGGCCTCCCTTTCTTTCCTCTCTTTCTCACCCTCTCCGTCTTAAACTCAGTCATTCCTGCATTCATTTGTCAATGTTCCCTGCACCCTATCAGCTTGGAGGGCTGAGTGTAAGGCACTTTCTCTTTCTCTCTCCTGGTCCTAGCTAGATCTCTACTCTCTCCTGTGTTTCTCTCTCTTCCTCTCTCTTCTCCGACCTGCTCCATGCTTGTATTACTTTTCTCACCTTCCCTCTGTTCATTCTACCCCTCCTCCTCTCCTTATCTCTCTCTTTCTCCTTTCTCTGCCTTTACATCCCTTCCCCCCACCTGTTCCTGTCTCTCTGGCTTCCTGTGGACTGTGTGTCTGGTGGGACCAGGCCACTCTCCAACTCTTCCTCTAGTGAATCTTGTTCCATCTTTCCAGGGGCGGTTCTCTGTCTTCTGGCTCTTTGCCTGCCTCCATCTCTAGTTCATCACCATTTCTGATTTTTCATGCAGTGAGTGAGCACCTGTCACGTTCCAGATGCTGGGGATACGAGTATTCGTAGAACCACCCAGCGGTGGGTCGTTGAGTTGGCCACAGTCAAGTGACCACACACGCTCACCTTGACCGAACTTTCTAAGGGCCAGGGACAGCCTGGCTGTTTTCACAGGCGTGAAATCATCTTGCCTAACCACAGCCCTGGGAGAGGCATGCTGTTGTCAGCCCCATTTGCAGGTGGGGAACCTGAGGCATGAGGTGTAGCCAGCATTTTGGAAGTCACATAGCTAGTAAGTGGCAGAGGAACCCTGGTAATTTGACTCTGAAGCCTGTATGTCCTCATAACCAATATGCTGTCGGCATTGCTGAGACAATCTGTTAACTGTTAGGATGCAGATACTTATCTTTGAATTCCCCCCAAATAAACTTAATCTCTGCAGAGGCAGGGACAGAGACAGTGTCTTTCTTTTTTTTTTTTTTTTTTTTTTTTTTAACTAGGGACAGGGTATTGCTCTCTCACCCAGGCTAGAACTCCTGGGCTAAAGGGATCCTTCTACCTCAGCCTTCTGAGTAGCTGGGACTGTACCCAGCCCAACAATGTCTTTTTATCCTCCTATTCTCAGTACCTAACAAGATGCTTGATACATAATTACTCAAAATCTAGACCTTTTTATTGTCCTGCCAGGCCACAGGCAAATATTATTTATTGTTCCAAAGAGGAGGCAGGCCCAGAGTGGGTTATCTAAGGTCATATAGCTTGTAGGTGACAGAGTGGGATTTGAACTTGGGTCCACCTGTCTCTAAAGATGGTTTTCCTTCCAAGCTTCCATGCTGCCTCTCTTGATCAGAAAAATATAGGGACCTGAAAATATATTTTCTGCTCCCTGGTTATAAGCCAACTTGCCCTCCTATGGGGAAGGACACCCAAATGCTCTCTCTCTTGCTCTCTCTGTCTGAGTTTCGGGGACCCCAAACGTTGGTGCAGTGACATGAGGGTGTGGGGCTGGTGGGGGCTGGAGGCTCATGGGGAATCTGGCCCCCCACGCAGCAGCTGCGGACGAGGTGGAGCCGTGGCACAGGAACTGCATAGCCTACACGAGCCCCTGGAGCCCCTGCTCCACCACCTGCGGCCTGGGGGTCTCCACGCGGGTCTCCAACGTCAACGCCGGGTGCCAGCCTGAGCAGGAGAGCCGCCTCTGCAACCTGCGGCCATGCGAGGTGGACATGCGGCCGCTCATCAAGGTGGGTCCAGCGCGGCAGCGGCATCTGGGACTTAGCAGGCAGACAAACCTGCCTCTGAGCCTGGCTCCTAAACGTCCTCGTGGGCACCTGCTATAAAATGGAAACAATTAAGCCCCCCGGGATGGGTTTGGTGTAAGGGTTTTTTGGGATAATGTGTGTTACCAGGCTGAACTCCACTCACTGGAAGCTCTGGCTGTTACCGTATGATTAGAATCAAGGTCACTCTGGAGAGATGTCGGGGACCCTAAAAATTGCTCTTCATCCTCCCTCCCCCCACCCTCCCCCCACTGCCTGCACCAGCACAGAGTTATATGGGGAGCACTGGACGGGGGCCAGGACCCCTGGAGTCCAAAGCCTGTCTGTGTTAATGGCATCTGACTATGGCCAATCTCCTCCCGTCTCTGAGCCCCAGGCCCCAGGCCTCAGAGTTAGACACAGATCATACTTTCCTAACTCAAGCCCTTCTCACTCATGCCTTAGGACTGGTCAGCCTGTTGTCAAATCAAAACCAAAGCAAAACAAAACAGATCTCAGCACTGATTCCAGTTTCAGAGCTCTGGTGGAACGCTGAGGAGAAGGTTGCCCAGGAGACAAGACATCAGTCCTCTTCTGATGTCCAGCATTGCTCCTTGTCCCCTGGCAGCTTCTCCCATCATCTCTGTGTTGGTCACCCAGATTCACCCTTCCTTTTCCTCCTCCTTCTTCTCCTCTTCTCCCTCCTCTCCAACTGTTCTTCTCTGTCCTGCTAGCCTTTGCATTCTCTGTGCTTGGCACACAGTAGGTACTCAGTAGACATCTCTCTACTGAGAACATAAGCAGAAAAGGTACCGGCAGCAGGAGAAATGGGAGAAAGGCCCTGATCTGGGTGAGATGGGTCAGTCTGCCGCAAAGCTAAAAGCAAGTTCCTTGTTGTAGGTTCAAAATTCTCACCCGATTTTGTGTCCATAATTATGTGTCCTAAAAGGTTTGCCCAATTGTATAAGCTTCAGGCCCCAAAGAGCATCTAGCATAGTGTGGAGATATGGTAGACCCCAAGAATTCTTAATCCAACAAGTTTGGCAAGTGGCTACTATCTACCAGGCACAGAATTAGACTGTAGAGACACAAAAAGGACACCACATCTCGAGGGGTCATAGCCCAACAGAAGGATGGAGCTTCCCTTTTAAAGAATGTGGATCCCATAGAACAAGTTGCAAGATAAGGGTGTGTGTGAGAGCCCATGGGAGGCCGAGGACGGGGAGCTGAGGGTAAAGTGACCATGGAGTCCCGATGCTGGCTCTGCTACTAGCTAGCCAGGCAGCTTGGTTGGCTGAAGGAGCTAAAAAGGCTTCCCGTGTTGGTGAAACTGTGATGAATTGGGCATTGGCAAGTCAGAAATGCAGGACAGAAGAGAAGTCGCAGGCCACGGATACAACTCAAGCGAGGCGATTTCCTCTGTGGTCCTCAGTTCCTGTGTGTATAATCTCACTGGCTCTCACTCTATTCACTAATGTCCTTTCTTGCTTGAACATGCCGGGGTTCTGAAATTAAGGTGGAGTGCTCCTGTGGCAAGCCAGAAGGAAAAACCTGAGGGCTTGGAGGGAAGAAGGTGGCTGTTTGTCCTCTAACAGCCCCACTGACAGCACCTTTCCTTTCTCTCAGGCAGAGAAGAAGTGCTTGGCTGTGTACCAGCCAGAGGCTCCCATGAACTTCACCCTTGCGGGCTGCATCAGCACACGCTCCTACCGACCCAAGTACTGTGGGGTCTGCACGGACAACAGGTGCTGCATCCCCTACAAGTCCAAGACCATCGATGTCTCCTTCCAGTGTCCCGATGGGCCTGGCTTCTCCCGCCAGGTCCTGTGGATTAACGCCTGCTTCTGCAACCTGAGCTGCAGGAATCCCAATGACATCTTTGCTGACTTGGAATCGTACCCTGACTTCTCAGAAATTGCCGATTAGGCAGGTACAGATCATGGGCCTTGGAGCCTGGCTCGATGCCTGCAAAGCTGCCAGTCCTCTGTGGCTGTAACTTTGCATCATTGAGTCTTATTTTATCCACTTCCCATTCACTCCAGTTACCTTGGTCAGTACCCTTGGAATCCTGTCCTGTCTCTGACTACCCAAACGGCCCATGATGGTGCTGCTCAGGCCCACACTAGGGTCCCCTCCTTGGCAGCATCAGCATTCACTCCAAGGAAAACACCTGTCTCTAGACTTTCTGGACAAGACCCAGGCCTGATCCAGCCTGTCCAAGTCACCGAAGTTCTGCTGGATCTTGCCTAAGTCACAAGGAATGGAGTCTACTAGATAGCCAGTACCCTAATTCCCTCTTTATATGCCCAACTGCAAGACTCTTTGGGTCCATTCTGAAGGATAGATGGGATTTAGAACAGTAGATTAATCTATTATTTGGGCCCTGCCAAGTGGCACCTCAATGGGCAGTTCTGACCTCAGCAAATCGAAACTATCCCTGATTCCAACAATGTGCACTCCCCAAGGTCACCAAACACATGCCAAGTAAAGTGAATGGCTGTTTGGTTTGGATTTTCAATGGAAGATTATATCTGGGTATTGTTGAGGTTAAGTTTCTTTTAACCTCTACACTGTGAAGGGTATAGATTAAGTTCATCCCAGTCAGAAATGCAATTTGCTAAACATCCTTGCTGATGGGAAAAGCCCCCAGTTAATACTCCAGGGACAGGGCAAGGTGAGCCCATTCCAGAAGGATCTCTTGGCCCAAGCATTGGACCTCTGCTGACTGCCAGGGCTTCAGGCAGTCGGCCGGGCTCTTCCCTGCTTACTCATCTTCTCCCTGCCTGGGGCTCATGAGAATTACTGGAGCCCCTGGATTTGCCTCTCTGGTGCCCAGAGTGATGCCCTGGGACATTCCTCTGTTCTTACGGAGCCTCAAGAGACCCAGCTGCAGACCAGGCCAGACCTTCCTGAAATGACCAAGACAGGTCCAGATCAGGCATGGTCATACCAAGAAGTGGGTCCACTCTGCGTCCGCCTGGCCTGGCCTCTCAAGCTGGGGCTCTGGAACCCCAAGAGTCCCTGTGCCCAGGACACATCTCTTTCTGCCTCAGCAACCCACTTCTCAGCCTTCGGATCTATGACCAAAACAGCCAGTTTTCTGGTGTGAAGACAAGGGTTTACCAGTTTTTTAGAAACAGAAATACTTACCAGCGGTTAAAAGTCAAAAAGAGTTGAAGGTAAAAAGAAGAGAAGGTTGTTATTCATGGAAATGAGGCTATTATTTATTTTGTTAGTAAAATATAATATTTACTGTTATGATTCTTTAATTTAGCACCTTTTATGTGCTAGACATTGTTCTCAGTGCTTTATATACACTAGCTCATTGAATCTTCGCAACGATGTTGAGAAATTCCCATTATTATTTCTTTTCTTACAAATGTGAAATGGAAGCTCAGAGAGGTAAGAAAACTCGACCTGAGTCACCCAGCTGGTAAATAGGGAAGCTGGGATTCAAATCCAAATTGGGCTGACTTCATAATCTGCATTTTCCTTCTTTTTATAGAGCTTCCAAATATGTCAGAATAGGAAAACATATTGGAATAAGTGACTTCTTGCCGTCCCTTTCCCTCATCATTCTTTCTAGCTCCTTTCCCAAGAGAAGAGTGTCTGATTTTCTCAAAATTTAATCACCTAAGCATCAAAAAAAAAATGAGATAGACAACAATCCATACATCCCCTATAGATCATCCTCTCCTTCAAATCAGAACCAATGTTAGTACTTGGAGTGAATTGCTCCGATGTGCTTAGGCATGGGACAGGGAGGGAGACCTGAATTCACCAAATTAATTCTGCTAAATCTTATTACAAGCATTTGGGGATCCCTTCCCACATGCCAGGTCTCGTGCTTTACTGCCATATCTCATTTAATCCTTGTAGCAAACCTACAGGATATGGCATTATCATCATTTAAAGGCAGCTGGGTCTCCAAGAGGTTGAATAATTTGCTCAGGGTCTTACCAGCTAGTGAAGAGCAGACCAGGATAGAAAACCAGGATCGCCTGACACCTGAGCCATCTCTCCCGACACTAAGCCTAGTTATCCTGCCCCTAAAATCCAAAGGTATGACCTTTACAAGAGGTGCTTTACTGATGATAGCTGCAATTTTAACTTTGAAAGTGATTCGGAGAGTGATCAAAGAAAGTAGATTTAAATGATAAGATTGTGTACAGTCTCGCCAGCATTGTCCTGTGCGTCCATAGGGTTATTGTGGGGAAGTAAACTAGCCCATGACTATGATGTTGAATTATGTCACTGCTTTTTGCAGACTTGTCATGATGCAAAGTAACCATGGTGATAACCCCACATAGCTGGGGTTATCATAGTCATAATGGTCAGCTGTGTATGTCTGCACATAGATATGTGTTTGTGTGTATATATGTACGTATAGATCTATTTTAAAACTGTGATTTAATATTTAAATATGCCTACTGCCATTTTTGTGACTTAAAAAAATATATAGGAAGAAATGTCTTAGAATTTCCCAGTAGAGGAAAAAATAGCACTTGGGCAATCTGTCATGTTTTACAAGTCCTCATTTTTCTAATGATTTGTGTAGCGTGGGGCATGTTTGCCCAATGTAAAGGGTTTTCACTGCTTAAATTCTATGTTGACAGCTTTTCTCCTTACAGTAATAAATCATCAGCAAAGTCATTTACTGAGTTTGGTGGCTCTTTCTGTGTATCCAGTTGTTATGAGACAATGATGGAACATCGAATGCGTTTGATAAATGTTCGGATCATGGAAATTAGGTCCCAGATAGTTTATATACGGAAACAAAAAGGGCTTAGAAGTTTGGAGATGGGCTTAGAAACATGAACTCCAGAATTCAGAGAAGACTAGAGCAGCCAGTGCATCCAGGCTGGAAGACACGCGATGTAAATATAAAATGGATTTTAAGCATTTCATTCATTCATTCACTTGCTTATTCAATACCTTCCTATATCCTCAACTAGACTGTGGATACCTGGGGGTCAGGGGATATCACTGCATCCTCTGAGCCTAGCTCAGAAGCAGGCACACGTCAGGGACTGTGTAAGTAAGGGCTGAATGGATGGACAGAGTATCTATTGCGTACTGCTGTAGGAACTAAGACAAGTAAAAAGAAATGCAAGAGAGACCGCACAGCACAATGGAAACAGATGTGACTTTGGAAGTCAAGTGGATCTTGATATACTTTATTTTCTTTTGTTGTTGTTGTTGTTTGTTTTTTATTTTAGCATATTATGGGGGTACAAGTGTTAAGGTTACTTATATTGCCCATGCCCCCCTCCCCCCTCGAGTAAGAGCTTCAAGCATGCCCATCCCCCAACCGTTGCACATCTTACTCGTTGTGGTTGATATACTTTATTTTCTACTGAAATTTCTCACTTAACTCATCAAAGCCTCAGTTTCCTCATCTATGAAATATAGTACTTACATCTCATCTGGATGCATATTGCATGCAAAATTTTAAGACAGAGCTTAGAACATTAGGAAGCACATAATAAACACATCTATTACTAGCTGAGTCTCAGTTTCCTCATAAACTGGGGGTAATCAATGAGGCCACAGTAAGAATTAGCATCAGTATGTGTGTCTGCATATTTACCTTGTTTATCCCTTGTTTAAAGTAGCAAATATAAAGAGAAAGTATTGCCAACATTCAGTTGAATGCTGTTTTACTTTAAGCATAGACTGTTTCTGTCCTTAAATTTTTTTTTTCCCTTTTATGCTATAACTTGATTTAAAAGCCAGCTTCTTTAAGGTAGGAGGGCATGTTATACCTTTCTGTGTTTCTCATCGCCGCACTTGACACATGCTCATGCTCAGCTGTATGTGCAGGCGGCTGGGGTAGATGAAGTGAATAACTCTTTTGAAATCCCCTGGCCAAATTCCCTTCATCCACTGCTCCCCCCAAACACATGAAGCTTTTATAAGAAAAGTCAAGGGGAGACTCCATTCCAAAAAAAGTTTTAAAAAGTAATTATCACATGAATTGTTTCCAAGAACACTTCTAGCCTGAAGCATATTGTTTTCAAAATTTGAAGTTAGATTGTGAAGTCCTGCAAATGAATGCCTCAGATTAAGATGAATGTGTAGACTCTGGGAAAATTTCTGAGGATATCAGGTCGCTGCAGTTTTGGGAAAATGAGATTTTGGGGAAATGGCCAGAGCATTTTATCATGAAGCACTTTATCATAGAAAGCCTACAGCAGAGATCCCAATGTTCTCCATCACCCCCACCGAAAACAATGAAACTGCAAAGGTATCCTCTGTGTTCAGAAGTCCAAGTTCTAGTTGAATCTGGGTTCTTTCTAAATGCAGGACTGAACAAAAATGACTTCTAAGGAGATGAGTAAACTGGCACAAAGCCCATGCACTGTTTCATATATTATATACTGTAAAGCCTGTCTCCAGATCTCTACTGCTCTTGTTTTTCACACCATGTGGATTTCTTACTTCATTCCATAAAAAGGGAAAGGAAGCTGTTACAAGCAGGTTTACTGATGGCAATGAGAAAATGTCAGCCTGCCTGCAAAAGAGGTAAACAAAAATAAAAACCAGATAAGAGATATCATAAAAGCAGGTCACCCAAGTCTGAGTGGGACCGTTTAATGTAGAGACTAACACCCCCCACAGTTAATAAAAACCTTATGGCATCCACAGTCTCCTTTGGTCCTGGGAACTAACTGATGTCCTACCATCTCCAAGCATCAGTAGGTGGTGGCATGAGTCACGTGCTCAGTGGACTGTTTTAACAGGCAGCAAGGGAGAAAATCCATTTTAGAAATGGCTGGGCAAGCCGTTTAGTCTCTCTGAGCCTTGGTTTTACCTATGAAGCAAGAATGATTCCTCCCCACAAAGGATAAAAAGAAGAAAGAAACTATAATGTACACTAGGTATTATTATGATTCGGGGAAGTGTGCATCTGCTTACTTAACACAGACCTCCTGTTATGTGTTTGGCAGTGGGCTGGCCCTGGAGGTGAGGGAAGCAGAGAATGGCTAGTTTGGGAAGGAAGGGACACACACAGTGATGATGCGCTGCCTCGCAAATGCCAGATGCACCTTCTCTCTCTGCAGGGGAGCATTCAGGAAAAGCTTCTCGAAGCAGGGATGAGGAAAGGCATGTTCTGCCACCATGAGCCTGGCTGTCAATGGATTTAACTGTGCAAAGGATATTCCAATTCACCCACCACAGCCGTGCCAGTTACCCTGCCCCCTGCTGCCTTTATGTGAGGGCCAGGGGGTGGGAGCAACGAGAGCCCAGTCACAGCTGATTGGACAGGGGGCGGACACCTGAGTAAAGCTGGACCAATTACATTCTTCTCCCTAAGAGACACGAAGACCTGATTGATTTCAGGTCCAAGAACTAAAAGGCCGGGTAGCCTTTAGGTTAGGGCCACCATTGTACGCTTTAGCATTGCAGAAAAATCTGATCTTAGAAAGAAGGAGGCTGATTTGCTCACTCACCCCCTCTCCAACGCCATCTCCAACCCCATAAGGCCAAGCCTCACCTTCTGTTCCTGGATTCCTCGGGGATACCACTGAAGGGTTTCCACGCAGTCTAAGAAACCCGAGTCACATACTTAAGCCGATTGTGTCTGGGCTACTTCTAGAAACCAATCCGCTGACTCTCACAGTGAGACTGTCTGAGAAGGCGTAAGGACAGATCCTGCACGTGCTGATCTCAGCGCCAACTTGGCCTCCCAACTGCTGCAGAAACCGGAGGGCAGGAGACAAACCAAAACAAACAGCTAGGAGATCAGAAATAGATCCCCAGCTGGCAAAACAGCCCCTGGGCACACCATCTCTGCATAGCATCGGGTGCATGCAAGCACTTGTAAAGTCCCCTCCCTTGAGGAAGCCAGACCGTGCCAGGCCCCGAGGGTCTCTGTGCCACCCCTCACTCCCCAAAGCTGAGGGTAGCAGCCCCTGCAACCATGGCACTGGCCCACCTTATCTTTGTTCCTGACCCTCACACAGGGCCCCTAGGCAGGAAAGGCACGTAGGTTTGTTGAATAAGCATGAACCAACACGCTCCTCCCCACCTCTGATCAGGGCTTCTTAACCTGGGGTCCCTGGTCCCTCCAGGGATCCATGGATAGAATTCAGAGGGCCCTATTTTTGGATGGGGGGAAATACATCTTTGTTTTTACCAACCTCTAGCTGCAATTTAGCATTTCCTTCTATCTAAATGCAGGCAACAAACCCCAACATCACCAGTTGTAATCACAGGTGATCGCCTTATCACAACTGTGGCAGTTGTGATAGATATCTATCTATCTGATAGGTATCTATGTGAAAGATATCTATCTTTCAGACTGCAGCAGTGTTGAAACCTGCCTCCACCGTACTGTTGAACTGATTGATAAAGCACGTTACTGTGTCACCCAGTTGTAACATTTTGATAATTATGCTTCACTATAAGGGGTTTCTTTTGTAATCGTATGTATTTCATTTTATGTGTTCAAAACTCTTCTGAGAGGGGGTCTGAAGGCTTCTCCAACGTCCTAAAGGGTCATCCATGAGATAAAAAGGCCCCAGGAGCCTGCCTTGGCCTCACCCTCTGCGGGGAAAAGGCAGAACTGCAGAGGAGCCACCCCTGCCCGGACCGTCACTCCGGCCTCACTTCCTGCCACACGCAGCACACAAAGTCACTTGGCCAGGTCTACACTGTAGGTTTCTGGTAAAGGCACAAACCGCTCACCCCTCTGTGCTGGTGCCCAAGCTGTCCCCGAGGCTGGGAACACCTTCTTGTCCTTCTGTGCTGAGTGAAAGCCCCTTCCTTGTTCCAAGTCTATATCCTAAACATCGGGGCCTGAGAACTACGCACACCCACGTGCTGCGCAGACTTTGACAGTGTTTGCAGCTGATCACGCAGCCGTAGAAACCTTCAGGGCAAGTGAAGAGAAACCAGTATAAACAGCAGGAGGAGAGGGACGGCCTTGAGTGTGGGCTGCCCTCAGTGACTTGCTTCCCAAGAGTGAGTAAAGTATGGAAAAGCAGAAAAAGCAACTTGACAGTGGAGAAACCTGGCAACCACTACCCCAGCCAGGGGATCAGGATTAATCCCATCAGCACTAATCCATGGTGACAGCATGTGCCCTGGATATGATGTGACAAGAAGGGCACCTCACCTCTCTGGTCTCCCCCCCCCCCAGTCTCACACACACACACACACACAAACCCATAGCCCCATTTGTACCATGAGAAAAATCACAAACAAATCTGAGTTGAGGAATGGTCTCCAAAATGCCTGAGCAGTGCTTCTCAAAACTGTCCAAAAGCAAGAAAAGTGTGAGAAACTGCTACAGGCCAGAGGAAGCTAAGGAGACGTGAAAACTAAATGTGATGAGGGACCCTGGATGGGATCCTGGGGCAGAGAAAGCACATGAGGGAAAACCGGAGAAATCCCAACACAGTCCAGGGCTTAGCACCAACGACAGATATGTATGGTGACGTAAGATCTTAATACTCGGGGAAGCTGAGTGTAGGACATACGGGAACTCTCTGTGCTATCTTTGCAACTCTTCTGTACTCATCTTAAATAAAAGGTTTAAATAAAATGGAAGGCTATACTAAAACATGTTTATAATTTTTACATGTAGAGTAGAAAACAAACGTTGCAATGGTTGTCACTGGGCAGGAGAAAAGGAGTGGCCTTTCCACATACTTTTTCTGTAATAAAAATAAAATGTAAAAAAAAATCAAAATAAAGAGATGTTTCCCTCTAATTATAGGTTGACAGGCTTTATCCACTTATCCCTACACTGTCCAAGCTATTGGGCACTTAAAATGTGGCTGTCTGGATGTACTTAGTATATAGAATGTAAAACGTCTGCCTAATAATTTTTTACAGAAGTGGTAATATTTTGGGTATCTTGGGTTAAGTGAAATGTATTAAAATAAATTTCACCTGTTTCTACTTTTTTTTTAAGTGGCCGCTAGGAAATTCCAAGTGGCCTATGGGGCTGACATTCTATTTCCACTGGACACAGCCACACCAGAGCAGAGTTACAGGGTTGGGGGGCTGTGGCAGGAGCCCCCAGGGATCAAGGACAGGCAATCCCATCCTGAAAGACCCATCCTGGCACCTCGATGTTGCACACACGATCTCTCGGGGCGAGGAAAGAAGACACAAGCCACTGCAAAGTTACAAATTTATTGGTCTGGAAATAAATACAAATATCTCATTAAGAAATTCCTCTGGAAAGACTTGTACACAACAGTTCCCGGTCTGGATTCAGCCACTCTTGCCCTGATCCTCGACCTGTCTGCACAAGGTCAGGGGGAGCCTCCCAGGTGGTAGGTGGCAGGTAAATGAGTCATTGCCACTCACGCCTCCTAGAAGACTCAACTACTTCCTTCTTCCAACTCTAGGGTCCTGGAAACCACCAGGCTCCCAGTCAGTGGCTGACTCACAATGTTTGATGCACTCTGATCAAACTTCTCTGAAAATCCATGGTTAGCCAGAACGAAAATCACAGGCAGTAGTATGGGAACTTGGCAGCCGACTATCTCAGAAACGTCAGTGGCGCCACCTCATTCAGGGTAAGGGGTTGGTTAGTGGGGCAGGGAGAGAGGAAGGCAGGAGAGGGAAGGATAGGCCCATGGAATACGTATTCCAGAATCCTGGCATTTTCTCAGCCACCATTCCCCATGTGAATTCCCACCCTCGCCCCACAAGAGCAAAAAGTTCTATCTGAAGATCCAGTGATGTTACCAAGTCGGAAACGTTCAGCTACTGGGCTTAGATTCCGGCCCAGATGTCAAAGATTGGAAACTGGATTTAACTCAATTCGAGATCCACGGAAATCACAACTGTACTCGATTCCATCACAAACACAAGGGATCCCTCCCATCTAGGAATGGAAATACCGCCCACCCCATGCCCTTCCCCCCACCCCCCGCAAGGAGACTCACACAGCCAGGCACGGCTGGCCAGAGCGCTTCCCTCCATTGCAAAGAATGCAACTACAGATCTAAATTATCTTCCCCACGAACAAAAATAATCACACGCTCACGTGTCTGGGGTGGGAGAAGGGTCTGCGGGGGAGGGGCAGAGGGCAGAGCCAAAGCCTTCAGAAACCGTGACACCAGCGTTTGCCAGGGCGTTCTTTCTGTAAAGCCAGGAGCTTTGGTTGCCCGCTTTTGTTGCACATTAAAAGGACGCTAGGAAAACAGGCTTGGATGCGTCAGCATTCAGAGGTTTATATATGCACCAACCTTAAAAATCAATTTCTTCAAGTCAACTATGTGGGTTTGTTTTTTTCCAAATGCCTCTAGCCTCAACATAAAGTCCACCTCTTTTCCTCCCGCTTCCTGTTTTGCCTATTTAAAAGAGGTGCCCACACTTCACTGCTCTCCCCGTCTCCAAATTGGAAAAGGATTTTGTTTCCTGGAGCTGGGCAGCTTCTCTGCAGTTGGAGAGGAAACAGGAAGTGGATGGCTGGCGGTCTGACAAAGCGCCCCTCCGAACCAGGATGCTGGGGGCAGCTGGGGCTTGGCTTTGTGAAGTGTTTACCGCTACGCTGCTTGTTTTTGGCAGTTTGGTGTCTCCGAGGGAGGGTAAGGGAGGGGCAACCGGCCAGTAGTGAATGGAACAGGACACTGAGGTGCCTCTTTCCTTTGGTCCACAGCCGCCCTGCCCTCGTCGGAGAGGGTGCCCGAGACAGACCCGATCTGTCACCACCAGAGCTCGCTCTTACAAAATAAGCTTTGGATTAATACCGAGTTAGGCGCAGTGTGGCAGGCAGGGGCGGGAAGGGGCTGGATGGAAGGGAGGGGGCGGCTACAGAGATCAGAGTCCGGGACGGCAGTCTGCACAGGCCGCCTAGCAGGAGACCTCCATGGACTTGGGCCCAGCGCTGTTCCCGGTGGCACCCGAGTTGGGAGTGATGTCCAGGTGGGCGCCCTCGCTGGTGTGGGAGCGGCTGCGGGCGCCCTCGCTGGTGTGGGAGCGGCTGCGGGTGCCCTCGCTGGTGTGGGAGCGGCTGCGCGTGCCGTCCAGAGAGGTGACGCTGGAGCCCGAGGCCGTGCGGGACCGCATCAGGCGCGTCATGCTGGCGGAGGGCACTGGGGAGACAGGAGACAGCCAGTTAGGGGGTGGGGCCTCCAGGATGCGAGGGGCCAGATGCACCTGCCTGGCAGCCACGGCGCCCCCGCCCCCACGCGGCCAGCCCCGGCCAAGCACTCTTCCTGTCCTGTCTTGGTCCTGGCAGCAATCCAGCCGCTGGGTAAGCAGGGACACGACAATCCATGTAAGTGACTTGACCCAGATCCGGGTCTGGAGCCCAATGCTGCCACTTGCTTAACAGCTGTGTGGCTGTGGGAGTGTCCGCTGAGCTCCCTGCCCGGTGCCCGCTAGCCCATGCTGTCGGCTGTCCCTGGAGCAGAGAACACTCCTGCTCGGCCAGGTAATCCCTGCATGTCCCACTCGGGGAAAGCGAGGCCACACGGCAGGTTTGTGGCAGAGCTGTCAGTGTCACCTCCCTTTCCCCAAGAAGTCTGTCAGCACCAGGTACTAGCAAGGGTGCCATCCGTACTTTGATCTCCTCCAAGGCTTGAAATGCCCTTTTGCACAGCAGGTGCTGACGGAGTGGAATGAAGAGAAAACAAAAACAATCCTTTCTACCTTAACTGGCGATTCACGTGTACCCCAAACCTCAGAATGTGATCTTATTTGGAAATAGGGTCTTTGCATGCGTAATCAGTTAAGGATCTGGAGAGGAAGTCATCCTGGATTTAGGGCGGGCCCTAAACTCAGTGATGGTGGTGTCCTTATGAAAAGTGCAGAACACACAGGGCCACAGCGGAGAAGCCCACACAAAGGCAGAGGCAGAGACGGGCGTGGCCAGCCCCCGAGGGTCGGGGATTGCTGGCCGGCAGAAGGCAGGAGGAGGCAGGGAAAGATCCCCTTAGAGCCTTCGGAGGGAGTATGGCCCTGCTGACAGCTTGCTTTCAGACCTCCAGCCTCCAGAACTATGAGAAAACAGATTTCTGCTGTTTGAAGACACCCAGTTTGTGAGGATTTGTCAGGTCAGCCCTAGGAAACTCGTACCCCATGCAGTTGAAGCACGATCACTGCGAAGGCCACACTGAAGGAGGGACATTGGAGGCAGGGAAGCTGGGACACACACAGGCACACAGAGCTTACGTTACGCACTTGCTAGACACAGGGCTTGGCCTTTGATGGCCGATACTCACAAACAGAATTAAGAGCTAGTTTTGAATCCAGAAAGAATCGGGGTCAACCCTGTCTCTGTGGCTTACATACTTCTCTGAGCCTCTATTTCTCAACCCCAAATCTGGGCGTTCTCCTGGCTGGGCTCCCAGGGCCGCGGTGAAGGATGTCAGGTGTGCAATGCGCTGGCCATGCAGGACACCCTCGTGTGCAGGAGCGCAGCCATGGGTTACTTTCTTTCTCTTCGCTTGATGCCTCGGGGACCACAGTTCTTCCTGCTATTTTCCCTAAGACCTACAGGATGCTCTGGCTTTCTGGAAATAGAAGCTGATTTTGGGGGTGGGGGTGACAATGGGGCCTAGCTTTTGCTTCCTTTCTCCCCAGAATACACCCTGGGAGCAGAAATCCAAACCCACGTCAGGTCCAAGACAAGCGAGAGCCGCGGTTCACGCCCTGCGAGGCAGGCGAGGTCTGGGCAGCGGCTTTCGCCGTCTCGCTGCTGCCTGCGCAATGCCCAGAGGGAAGCCCGGCCGGAGGGGCAGGAGGCCCACAGGCAGACGCTTTCTGCTGGGACAGGGCTTCTCGGATCCCACGTGACGCGTGTAAATGAGACTTACCCACTCCCCGCCTTGCTAGAACTAAACACGGCTGAGGCCAATCTTAAGACTGCAGTTAGCTTACCAAACTTACTGCTACTATTTTAAACAAGCCAAGAGTTTAAGGAGAAGACAAAAGAAATGAGAAGTTCAAAGCTTCCTACTTAAGAAAGGCACACAAATTTACAGACCCACCCAGTGTGGCCGCTATTCAACAGAGTGTTTAAACTCAATAGCATCTGTCCTAGTCCTGGGACGTCATCTCTGGGAAGAGGGCTTTATGTGTCCGACCAACAAATAAACTGTAACCATAAAGCGAGAAGCTAGTTCTTGAATTATGTTTCCATTTATCCTTTAATTCCCAAATTTCATGGTGTAGCAAAGGCATGTTCTGTCTTGATATAAGCAACTCAACTCTATCAGCCACTTACACAGAGTTTTACAGTTTTCAGAGAACTTTCAGAGACCCCCCACTCTGCTCCCTGCTTAAACCCTCCAGGCTTCAGTTTCCACATTTGTAAAATGAGGGCAAGACTTTCTCATAAGATTATTGTGATGGTTCAATGAGAAAAAAGAAAGGATTTACTAATAATCTTTTACCATCACCACCATCATCGCCATCTTTGTCATCACCACTATAAGCTAGCACGTAATCAAAATTGAAAATATTTTCATTGTTTCATTGTTTGTCATCTTCTTAGTGCTTAAAGGGATAGTCTTCATCTAAATTTAAAATAATCCCTGGTATGAAATGGCTTCTGTTTGATGAAGGAGCTACTAAGCTGCTCTAGTATAAATGAGAGACTAGCACCTCTAGACTGCCATGCACCCTCCACACACCTGAGTATTTTCTCCTAAGCTAGAGCTGGCCAAGGCGATAGAGAATAGTCATCCAAACCCGGCTTGGGGGATTGCATCTCCAACTCCCACACACCCCCAACCCACTGCACCCTGAGCAACGCCATACTCACTGTAGCCCATGCCCTGCACGAAGTATTTGAAGGCCTCAGCAAGCTTGGCCGGCTGCAAGAGACAAGGAGAGAGACTGCGGTCAGTCACCGGGGTCCGGATGACCCAAGGCCACCAGGCGCTGGACCCATGGTCAGCTTCATTCATTCATTCATTCATTGGCCCAAGACAGAGGCCATCACATGTTGACGGGATAAAACACAAAAGGAAAGGAAAGACTGTGGGATAATTAGGGGGACCGCATTATCTTTGGCCAGAGAGAAAACGTTCAAGTTCACTTCATAGTTGTAGGAATGCGGACAAGTTACGTGACCTGTCTGCGTCAGTTTCCTTGCCTGTAAAACGGGCGGAGCGCTATGACCACTGCTGAGTGCCTCTGGGGAGACTGCATTAGACACAGTGATGCGCCCGACTGAGCATCTGGGGTACAAGTGTAACAGCACCATGGGCCGCTCACTGCGCAAAGGGCTTGGCTGCACTTTCCATTTACTCCTGACAGCCCCCTCATGGTTAGTACTGTTTTATATACATTTCACGGGTGAACAGATTTGGAGAGGTCAGAGTGGTGGGGCCTGCAGATCAGCCCAGGCTGTCCAAACTCAGAACCCACGGTCTTGAGGCAGTGCACCTCCAGCCTCGATAGTGGGCTGGCTGGCAGGAGGAAAGATGAGGGATGAATAAATGGATGACAAGGAAAAAAGGATGGAAGGAAGGAAGGAAGGAAGGAAAGACTACAGATAGATAAAGAGTAAAAAGGATCCATGGGCAGAAGGACAGAAAGAAGGAAAATGGATAAAAGAAGGAAAAATGAAAGGAAGAAAGGATCTAAAGAAGAATGAATGGATGTTGGTGGGACAAACCAATTAACTAATTGACTAACGGCTGCTTTAAGTGAAATGACTAGGAAATGCTGAGAGCACATGCAGTTCTACTGGTTGCTCTCAAACAAGCTAATCTAAACCAGAGGTAAATGCGCAAGTATCTAGGGCATATTTGCAGCTTTACATTAATTCCACCTGTTAAATCCAGTGCTCTGAGCCTCATTCTCCTGCGACAGTGAGAAGTCACTGACAGAGGCAGTGCTGTCCTGCCACCTTTCCACAAAGCCAAATGACATTTAAAGGAGAGGCTATGCTTAAATTGCCCTCTGAGACTTGTGTGACAAAGGAAAAGGGACAAGGGAGTTGGGACTGCAGATGACAGGGATGCCTGTGGTGGAGGAGAGAACCAAGAAGACAGGCTTGGGAACGAGAACATCTGGGCCCAAATTTGGCTCCAGTGGGCCACCGTGGGCACTCTCTCCCACTTTTAGCTTCAGTTTTTTCTTCTGTGACACTGGGACAAAACACTTGCTCTTCCGAGGACAGTTGCAAGGATCTAACCAAATCAAGGGTGGAAAAACCCTACGTAAACACGCAACCAGTTAGGGCACAAGGAGGAGGCATCTACAAGGAACCAGTGCTCCCTGGGCTGGTTTCCTGGAAGCCTGCACTAGCTGAGCCCAGGCCATGGCATTGAAAATGGTTGTGATTACAGCCAGGGTTAGATCTGTTCTTGTTTCAAGTAGAGAAAGGAAGAAAGAAGGAAGAAAGGAGGCAGGGCAGGGTTTGGAGGAACAAAGTGACAAAACATTCACATAATTTGTTGGTATTTCACATTTTAAGATAGAATACAAAACTCTCATGATATAAAATTATGAAGAATATAGATGAAAAGTTCCTTTGTTAGGTTGGTGGGTTTATTTATGGGAGAATGGGAGGAGTCAGTTATTACACAGCAAACACACTACATTACTTGATGTTTACTTGTGCACATGCACACACGTGCACAAGCAGACATAAACATGTACACATATGCACACAGACATACATGCACACACATATGCACAAACATAGACACATGTGTGCACCCATGGACGAACATACACATGTACACACATGCACACTCACATATACATGTACTCACATGCACTTGCACATACACATACACACACCACCTGGTTTAATCCCCTCCCCACCCCTGTGCTCTGGGCTGGAGCTCCCTGGGGGCCCTTCACTCCTGCAGAAGCCTGTGGTCTTTGGGGTAGGCACACCTAGATTCTAATGACCAAGCTGTGTCCAGGGCCTCTGTGAACCCCAGTATTATCTACTCCACAGGGGTTAGTTTCTGGGGGAATCAAATGAGTCCCTGTGAACAAGCACCTTTTATAAACAGTAACACATCCACAAACTGTCATCTGATGCCACAGCGAGGCTGTGAGGGCAAAGGCATTAACAGGTCACCGAGGCACACGCACTCCACCCAGAGAGAGGTGACAGGTGCTTAACGCAAAAGCTAAGGTGGCACTCACCTGAGAGATCTGCGGGAGGCCGCCACAATCCGCCATCTAGGAGGGAAGGAAGCTGGTTAGTGCCACACACCTCAGGAGGCAAGCCAGTTCCAAACAGGCATCCACCTGCCTGCTCCCCAGCCCCACCTAGCAAGGCTGCTACGGCTCTCATTACCATCCTCTCAGCATCAGACAGTGTCTCCATGGAAACCACAACTTGTAGCCTACGATGTGCCAGGCACTATGCAAAGCCCTATAGATAATTTCACTCCATTCCCCAAGAACCGTGGAAGGTAGAATTGCCTGCCTCATTTCAGAGGCAGAAACTGGGCCAGAGAGCTGGAGGAACTTGCAAGATTCTGGCCCGGCTCTGTCTGACCTGAAAGGACTTGATGTAAGGCCCTTTACACACATTCCCTGGAAAGATTCCCTCGAAACGAAACTGTTGGAATGGAGGGAGGCTTCCAGCTCAACGGGGCTTCTGACGGGCTACACTTCATAAATGCTGTGTCTTTCGAAGTTCCTATTAAATCACCACATCTAACACCATTGCTACAGAACTGAGTCCATTTTAGGCATATGTGCAAATGTATCCAGACACGGGAACGAGCAGGGCTGAGAGCGCTCAGGCAGCAGGAAGAGGGTAGGCTGCAGGGAAACAGGACTGTGGCTGTCCTGCAGCCCAGGGAGCCTCAAGGCTAGATCCTTGAGCACCAGCCACAGGACCTCACTAACATGGGGCGGTCCTCGGCTCAATGAGAACGCAAGTAACAGGATGCTAGAACTTTCCCTGCAGGGGAGAGTCAGTAAGTGGGCAGTGGGCAGAGTCTATCTAGACCGAGGCTGAAGTAGGTCCCGATCCTGGATCTACCATCAAATCAGCCACCCGACTTAGGCTACCTACCCTTTGCTGTGGGTTGCAGGTTGAATTTTGTCCCAGCAAAAAACATATTGAAGTCCTAATCTCCAGTTACCTATGAATGCAACCTTATCTAGAAATAGAACCTTTGCGGGTGTAATCAAGTTAAGATGAAGTCACACTGGATTAGGGTGGGCCCCAAATCCAATGACTGATGTCCTTAAAAGAAGAGGGCAATTTGGACACAGGCACAGAGACACATGGGGAAAACATCAGGGGACAGAGGGGGCAGAGGCTGGAGTGATGCAACCCCAAGCCAACGAGCGCCGAGGGCTGCCAGCGACTGGCAGCAGCTGAGGGATAAGCAGGGACCGGTCCCTCCTCCCCCAGTGCCTTCAGAGGACATTGGCCCTCCCTGCTGACACTGATTTTGGACTTCTGGCTTCCAGACTGTGCAGCAATAAATTTCTGTTGTTTTAAGCCACCCAGTTTGTGGCACTTTGTAACGACAGCCCCCAAAGTATAGCATTATGCAAGCATGAAGCCCGGCATCTTCTCATCTTGCAATTTCCTGTTCAGGGGATCTCGGAAGAAAACGTATGTAAAGAGCCCGATACGGGAGCAGCCTCCCACTCGGTAAGCGTCAGACAGCCCCTCCTGCACTCAAAGGGCTCCCGCTCCTATGGGGGGAGTTGAGGGAGCGGTGACCCACAGATGCCACCTCCTCAGCCTTCCCCCAGGGCGAGGGAGCCGCCTCATCTCCACTCGGGCCCCTCCTGGTCACCTGCCATCACAGGGGCACGGCTGGGCTGGGAGGCCCCTCTGAAAGCCTCCTATTCTCGTGCGAGTCTCCGGCCGAGGCTGCCACAACGGTCTGTGGTCTCGATTGTGCCACCAGCTGTAACCGACAGGGCACTGGCGGAGGTTGCTACAGACCCTCAAGTCCCGCTATGAGCCAGCGAGCGCACCGTGTGCTCCAATGAGCCTGCTGCACAGCGCCCTGCCCTGCCACGGCCTTGGGAGACATTCGCTCTTGCTGCACAAGCAGAGCCCCTCTTGGGGGAACGTCCTGGCCCCACTGCAGCGACAGCCCCTGCCAAGCCATTCCTGGTCCACCCCTCCCCATAGCCCTGCAACCAGCAGACCGTAGACTCCTGCAGTCCCAGACAGGGGTCCTCGCAGCCTCGGGTCACCGGCCAGCAACCAAATAGATGCTTGTTAATACATACATTAAGTCATTATTTCCATGGTTTCTGACTTATTCAGGCACAATTTGATTTTGCAGAAAAGTTGCGGGTTTCTAAGAAATAGCAAGTGCAACCCCCCACTGATTTCCCTGTACCTTGAGAAGAGTGGTCTTTGTTGGGTCCAGTTTTGAGTTGCATTCCACCTGGACAAGAAAGGAGACATTTGTTAATTTTTTACCCGAAGCCAAAATCAAAACCTTTCTCCATTCCCTGCCACTCTGCCACCAGCACCAGAAACTCCAATATTCCCTCTAGCACAGAGGAAAAAATGTGAGTTTCAGGGTTAAACAGATGTGGCTTTAAATCCCAACCCTGTCATTACCAGTCACGTGACCTCAGACAAGATATTTAACATCTCTGGGCCTCAATTTCCTCATCAATAAAATGGTGATAATATATTTTTTCAAAGTGTTGTTATGAGCCAAATGATGCCTTGTTTAGCCAGCTGCTGCCAAAGATTCTACAGGTGACAGATGCCCAGATCCAACAACTGTTGTTCATATAAAATCACAGTGACCAAGCTGGTTTCTCTCCTCATTTTGTCACCTTGAAAGTGGCATCCAGAATTGGGCAAAATATCCATATGTAACCTGTGATGTTCAAAATGCCCAACATAGAACTGTCACCTCCTATGATGTGAATAATATATCTCTTTTGATGCATCCTGTGATTATCTTCAGTGGGCCGGCCCACAAGAAACCCCAAGTCTTCACTACATGAACATCTGCACAAGGCATGCCACCACTCTAGGACCCTGATAAACAGACCCTAAGTCTCCCATCTCCCCAGCTGTGGGGTTCTCAGAAAGGTAGTGTCTTCTCTTTGCCTCCACAACATTGTGGATGGGAATGAAGGCGTGAAGTGAGTCGGGAAGCTTTGCCTAAGCCACTCTGCCAGGTGCCTCTCTTGCCTGCCAGATGGCCAGGCACCAATCAGATAGGAAAGATCCGCCTGCTTCCTGGAGGAGAGACAGTCTCTTGGCCAGGAAGCCAAGTGGCAAACGTTCTGGGATAAATGCAATCAGCTGGGGAGGGGGCTGGAAGAGGAGACAGAGGGCCCAGTGCCAGGCAGGCAGGGCAGGCAGCCACCAGGGAGAGACTGGAGGCTGGGCCCTCTGCCCAAGGACCAATAGGGCATTTAAAAAATGTCACCTGCCCTGATGGGGGCAGAGGAGTGGAGGGAGTGGGTAGGGCCACTTCACACAAAGTCAACCAGACTTGAAATGCTGAATTAAACGTGAAAACCAGGTGTTGATTTCTACATACCACAGCATCCACAGCAGGTGAGTTGTCCCCAACCACCAGCAGAGCAGGACACCTGGGGGCAGGGAGAGAAGGGGGCAGTGAGCACAAGGTTCATGCAAAGATTCGCACACTCCCAGGCCGGCCAGCCTGGGGCCAGGATTCTAAAAAAATTATCTTGGTTTCCCCAGTACGCTTTCCCTTTTTACTTCATTCTTCCCCCATCCTCTGCTTTGCTCTTAGGATAAAATGGGTTGGGAATCATTTACACTTTAGTATAAATTTCAGCCAAATAATTTCTGTGCCCTGAAGTTTGTATTTTAAAGCATCCTCTTATCAAGGATGGATGAGCAGGACTTTGCCAGTAGTCAAGACAGAGACAAGAACAGCATGAGTGACAAAGACAATGGTATGCCAAGTTCCCAAGTGTCAGGTACACTCAGGAAGGCACAAAGAGACACTATCATGGCTGCGGGGGTCCCAGTTAGCTGTGCTCACAACTGGCTTTTCCTCTTGGATTTATAGAGCACCAAAGGGGGTTCCTGTGTCACCCATTTCCAGGCTTTGTGAAGCAAAGTCTAGCACAGTTACGGACATAATAAATAAAGTACAGTCATCGCTCCTTCCCCAAGCTCCAGGGCTCCAACCCGGATCATGGGGCACCCCAAGAGCCGATGCCACCTGCACACAAAGCAGTCTGAGCCAGACCGGGCGAGGCTCGACCCCTGGATGGAAGACATCCAGCTCTCCCTCACGGCAGCGTCCTTCCACAGTGCGCCAGTTCCCCGCGACTCAGAAAGAAGCCCTGCTGCAGCCGTGCGCAAGGCTAGACGGTGGGTGGCCCTGGCTGCAGGTGGGGGGGACAGAAAAGCAACTCACTGCAGGGTGACCGTGTGGGTTCCAGGCATGGGTCGCTCTATCTCCAGGTCCCGCCGGCTGTAGGCAGAAATCACATCATTAGCATCAGCAGACCCTCAGCTGGGGGAAGCCCCCGCCCCGCTGAGCCAGGCCCAGAGGTGTGGCGCCTGTGGCTCTTGTGGCGCGCCCTGTGCCGCGCCCCTGTGTGCGGTGTTGTGTGTTTTTGGGTGTGCCAGCGTCTTGTTGTGCCGAGCGGTGTTGTGCAGGGGAGCGGGGGTCTTGTGTGTGTCGAGGGGCGCCCCTCTTTTTTTGTTCTATATGTGTGTGCTTTTTTTTTTATAGGAGTACAACGCATGTCCTCCTACAGAGAGTCCCTACCTCCTGTCCCCTAGTCAGAGCCCCACCTGACAAACAGGCAGCCTCTCATACGGTCTCCCAGCCTCTCAGTCGAGCCCTACCCTCACCTACTCCCAGTTCTCTACAGTGCAGCCACACCACCTCTTTAAGACTCAGACCCGATCTTTCCATTCCCTTGTTTCAAGCCCTTCCCATGGTTTGCCACGGTGCTGGTGTAAGGCCCGGCGTGGGCCGGGCCTGGTGCCAATCACCCTACCCTGCCTGTGTACACGCCCGCCCACTGCTGTCCTGCACCTCCCAGCGTGAGAAGCCCTCTCCAAGCTCACAGCCCACGGCAGACAAGTGGGACTCAAATCATGCTCGGCCACTTTCTGGCTGTGTGACCTTGGACAGATTACTGAACCTCTCTGTGCCTTTCCCTCCTCAGCAGGAAATAACGATGACAGTAGCACCCTCACGGTGGGGTTTTTGAGAGGGATCAGTGAATTGCTGTGCTGTCCATGAGAGGAAGGAGAGTGTGGTATTTGGGGGTTGTACTGGTCTCCTCTGGGCCCTCACTGCCAACTGAAAGCCAGACTGCCCTCCATTCTCCGTGAGTGCCTCTGCTAAATGAACGGACGGCTGAGCCTCTTTCTCTTCAGTTACAAGGTGAGAATGTTATTATGAAATAGTTAGAGCCTCCCAGGCTGAGATGCTGGCAGGGCTGCAAAAGGAGGCAGATACTGAACTTTGCTACAAACACTAATGCACGTTATGAAGTCAAGTTATTAACACTGGAGGAGACAAAATCCCACCAGGCTCATTCCTGTCCCCTTTTCTGGGAGTATGTCAGGGTTAGCTCGGCAGGCTGAGTGAGCTCCATGGAAGATTCCAGAATCCCTAGCAGACACCAGTGGCTCTGAGCTGTCCCTAGCCGAGCCCCAGATAAGCACCTAGTTAAGAGGCTACACCTGCGCGGAAGGCTGTGTTCGGGCCCTGCGTATCCTCGGAATGGCTAACCCGCCCCCTAGAGGCCTCCCCGGGCTCCTCCTGCCCTCACTTAGCTCCTCTCACACGGGCCTGTCGTGAAGGTCGACCACAGGGATTTACTGTCAACCCTTTGGGTGTGCAACTGTGTCCCTCTCATGCCTGTGTCCCCAGTGGTCTGGAGGAGTAGCTCAGATCCTCCGAGGCTTGCTGAACTCCAGAACCACCTTGCATACCAGGTGGCCCCACGGCACACCCCTGTCCTACTCATTTATTTGCTTAAATTAAGGGCCTGTACCTTCTACCAACTTTATAATACCCCTCTCCGTCACCCTATATTCCAGAGCAACAAAAGGTGCCTGAGAAATGGCAATCCCAAGGCCAACCGTACCCCCCATACCTGTTGTAGGCATTGATGAACAGGTGCAGGTTGCCGGGGTTCATGTCATTGATGATGTGCTGGCGGTAGGTGTGGACCACCTCCACGTTATTCTGCATTTCCTCCTGCATTTGGACAAGGAGGAAAACGTCCTTCACTGTGCTGTGGCCCCGGGCTGGCCACCACTCTCTCCATTCTCCAGGCTATTTGGCTACAAGGTAAAGACAATAATGCCCAATTCCCAAGCCAGCTGTGATGCCTAAGGAAGCCTTCAGAGAAGCAGCCGACACATGAATGCAGACTGGGTTCCACTGTCCCCTGGTAGCAGGAAAGAATCACACTTGGAAAGGCAAAGCACACCCTCCTGGGCTCATTACTCAGGCAGTTTTGATTTGCAGTCAATGCATCTGTATCTAGATCTTAGCTTCATCACTGTCCTTTTTGGAGGCAAATCTTTTAATGTCCCTGAGCCTCAGTTCCCTCTATACAAGGGGACTAATATTACCTACTTCACCAGGTGGTGGGACTTAGTGGAGGTGTGCACACCAAAGCCCTCTGCAAACAGTAAAATCAGATGCAAATGTTAACAATTATTATTTTTTTTTAATGGGAAGAGTTGAAAAGAAGTTTTTCATGCCTGAAAAACAGAACCAACTCATGCAGCAGGAAGTTGTGCTAGAAAGAAGGGCAGTCTCCGTTCCCACAGGGGCCAAGCAGAGCCTTGCAGGAGGCCGGCCTCTGTCGTCCCTCTGTCTGAATGCTTTGTGAACATGACTTGGGACAAACAAGTAAGTTGTGAGCTTGGAGCTCGCTCTGCTTCTCCTTTGTCCAATGGCAGACACCAGATTCCACACAAAGGTCTGACGGCCCAGTGGTGACCAGAGCAGGGGTGGGAGGGAGCAAAGAAAACCCATGTCAAGCTTGAACTGCATCACAACAGACCACAACCATTTAAGCAGCAAACAGGCCAACTGGCTATTAAAGGCAAAATCAGGAAAAAAATAATCTGAGGAACTACACTGGGATTTCAGATAAAAACACGATTGTAGCAATCTGAGGGCACCATTCCTGACCAGCCAGTCTCCAGGTAATCCGGGGAACAAGGTACAATCAGGTCAGATGTTACATGCTATACCTGATATCTCTCCTCCAAGGAAACAGAGACACCAGCTCAGAATTTTTCCAAATTCCTATGAGTTTCAGATGACACACTCAGGGCAAAGCAAATGTATCACACACTGAAATAAACCATAGAAGAGGGAAGAGAACTAGAGCAGGCTAAACAGTGGCCTCCAAAAGATACATCCATGTCAAATCCCTGCAACTTGTGAATGTAAACTTATTTGGGAAAATGCAGATGATATTTGATTAAGGATCTTGAGATGAGATCCTCCTGAATTGTCCCAGTGGGGCTAAATAGAATAGAAAGTATCCCTATAAGAGAAAGGACGCAGAGATTTGACACAGAGGAGACAGCCGTGTGAAGATGAGGCAGAAACTGGAGTGAGCTGCCACTAGCCAAGGAAAGCCGACTGGACTCTCCGCTAGAGCCCATGGAGGGGCACAGCCCTGCCACACTGGATTTAAAAAGCAACGGACTATGGATACACCTCACAACATGGATAGATCTCAGAACAGTCACGCCGGGTGAAAGCAGCGAGACAAAAAGTATGAGGCCATTTATATAAAAATCGAGGAATTAAAAAAAAAAAATCTAAGAATTGCAAGTGAATCTATAGTGACCAAAAACAGATCAGAAGTGGCCTAGGAAGGTGGAAAAGAAGGATTAACACAGGGCACGAGGAAACTTTTCGAGTGATGGAGATGTTCATTATCTTGAACTCAGTGATGGTTTTACAGAGGTACACGTGTCAAATTCAGCGAATTGTACACTTTAAGTATGTACAGTTTATTGCACTTCAATAAAACTATTTTTAAAAGACCTACGTATTGGTAATATAAAAAGGGAGGGTGAGTGCCTTGCTGCTTATGAATGAATAATGCTGCACTATTTCATAGGCATCAGCACAGCGGCCCCCGCTTGACTGTGTCTTGTTCGACTCCACCCCCACGTGGGGCTCTGTGCCCAGCACCACACGATTAACTACTCCCTGGGAACAACACGCTGCCAGGCCATGCTACTCACCTTCCCAAAGAGGTGGGACACCACCATGTCCGGCAGGGCTTGGGTCCATCCGGAGATCTGGGGAGGATCAATGCATGTGGATCAGAAACCAGGAGTTGACAGTAATTAACAAGGTCAGCAAAACCACACAGTGCTAGGGAGCAGAGTGGCATTGCTGGGCCCCCCTAGCAATCGGAGGACACCTGCCTCAATGGGACCTTGGTTTCTGTCTCTAGTTCCCCACTGGACCCACCAGAATGGCAAGGCCCAGGGCTCCATCCAATACCTTATCCTCAGAGCCACACACACAGGAGATGCACAGCAAATGGGTGTGGCATAAAGACCCAGCCAGCGTGTAGCTTCCCCTGCTCCAAAAGCTCTCCAAGTCCTCAGCAAAGGGCCTCCTATTTCTTCTAAATGCACACTGAGCCCCTCAGTCTACACCCCAGGTCTGCCTGGCTCCTAACTATCCCACCTCTGTCATCTTCCAGCCTTCTCCCCTCAAGCCAGTTTTCTCTCTCCAAGTACATTGAAGTTACTAAGGACACTGACCACCTTCTCTTCTCTACTTCTCCCTAGTGACAAAGCTAGGTATATAGCAGGAGCTCCATAAATGCTATTTATACAGCAGGAGCTCCATAAATTTGTGCTGACTGACTTCAGCATCAGGCAAGGGCTGGCAGGAGGGAAGCTCTAGACCTAGGGGTCCTCAACTGGCCCCTGACTGCTATATGCCAGCTGTGCAGCACTGGGCAGGCTGCAGACCTCAGACTTCTCATCTGTACTGGGGGTACCAGGAACTTCCAAGTCACAAGGTCAAGGCGAGGATTACAAGAGACAGCTGCACATGTCTCAGTCTCTGATACTAGTGCCTGACACACAGTAGGCCCTTGATATAGATCTTCTGTCTCCAAGACTGGGGTTGGAAAGGAAGGTGAAGGTGCAGATATTTAAACCCCATAAACATTCCCCAGGCCCTACGTTAGCCAGTGATCAATGTCCCCAGCCCTCCAAGTCTGGCTCAGAACAGCTATCCAGGAGCCCAGCTGGCTGAATGGAATGTCACTTCCTTTGCTGGAAAATCAAATAAAAAATAGGGAGTGTGTTCCACTCCTGAATGTCATGCAGGCAGGGGGAAGGGCTCCCGCACGCTGGCAGAATGCTCATGGAAAAAATACGTCAGGCTTGCCAGGACAGGGGTGGGAGGCAGAGGGAGAGGCATGACCCCGGCAAGCCCTCTGTCCCTGACAGCCACCTCAAACTTGGCAAAAACACACTTTCCAAACGAGGAGCCAGGATCCCCCCAGCTTGAAAGGCTTTGTCCTATTTCAATTGGACTGATTTCTCTCTCTCCTTGGCAAACACCGGGGCCTTTACGGGGGGAAAAATGAAAACAATAATCTTTAAAAGATAAACAAGGAACCACAGGACACCAGCCAGGGCATGGCTTCCCAAGATAGCTCAGGCCCCTTCTTGTCCAGGCAGCCCATCCTGCAGCCCAGGCCTGCCTGCCTCCCGCCCGGGACAGGTACAGTGAAGCCCACAGACCTTAGAGACAAAGGGATCTGCATGCAATCCCAGGCTCTACTGCCTGGCTGCGTGTGACCCTGGACAACTTCCCTAACCACCCTGAACCTCAGTTTCCTCCTCTGTAAAATGGTTATAAAAATTCCTACCTCCTGGAATTACTCTGAGGATTAAGTGAGGTAATGCATATATAGCAACATAAAGTAGAACTTGCACATGGTACACTTTCAATAAATGTTAGCTAATTATTATCACAAAGTTTAGTGACAATCGGTATTAAATACTCATTTCTTTTTCATTAAGAATGTGTGAATTCCTAAGATAGAGGCTTTTGCCTCATGCATCTCAAGGAGTCTTGTTTATCAACATGCTCAGCATCTTGAGCAAAGCCAGGCACAGGTCAGGTAGCCAGCAAATTTTTTTTAATCTGAGCGATGCTTATGAAAACTGGCTCAGGGGCCCGTGTCCCAGTGGTATCTCTGGCTTAGACAGCACAGTCCTACTGAAATCTTGTGAACGGCAATAGCTAAGGTCATGTCTATTATTCTAAGCAAAGCAGATGGAAACTGCTTTCTTTGCTGGGGCAGGCAGTGGGGTTGGTGGAGGAGTGGGGTGAAGAGAGGTCTCGTGGCTGTGAGGCTGCTCCAGGCAGAGGCTGTGTGCACCTGTCCCTGTGCACACAGGGACCCCACCTGCCTGACGCAGGCCCCCAGCCTCACCTTGGAGGCGGCCCAGTCCATCCAGCCTTCGGCACAAGGGTTCACGTTGATGAGGACGAGGCCCTCCACCATCTCGGGGTTGTTGAGCTGCAATTCAAGACTCGAGGTGAGACAGGCAACCTGGCAGTCTGAAACGCTATGGACTTGAAAAGTCAAACTGAAGCTTGAGAGAAGTGCCCAGAAAAGGGCCAGTGTGGGGCACCAGAGCAGGCTGCTGTTCTCAAGCCATCACAACCCCCGCCCCGTGCAGAACTGGGGTTCCGGCTCAGCAGACGCTGGACCGGGCTCCTGAGAGAGTGGATAAAGGGAAGGGGAAGGCACAGGAGAAGTAGAAAACACACATGCCGCACAGACCTCCGTGGGCAAGTCAGGTCAGCGGGTATAACACGCCACCAACCTCATCGATCAGACGGGTCAAAATGCCCTCTGGTCACAGCAGTAACAGTTCCACTACTTCCAGGAGATATGTATTTACATATTCACACACACACACACACACACACACACACACGTTATGCATCGCCTAACGACACGGCTACGTTCTGAGAAACGTGTGATTCTGCCGTTAACATCCTACAGCGTACTCACACCAAACTAGACGGCGTGGCCCAACATTCACCTAGGCTACAAACCTGTGCGGCATGTGCTGTAGGCAACTGTAACACCATGGTAGCTAGTTGTGTATCTAAACATACCTAAATGTAGTAAACGTACAGCAAATACGGTACTATAATCTTACAGGACCATCACTGGAAATGCAGTCTGTCATTGGCCAAAACGTCCTTATGCAGCACTGAACTCTGTGTGTGTGTGTCTGTGTGTGTGTGTTTGTGTGTGTGTCACACACATACCTAGGATATAGCTAAGACCGTTTTTTTTTTTTTTTCAATTTTCTTAGAGCCTGGACAGCTAGAGATCATTTTGTATTCATATCAGCATTTCTAACCTCTAGCAAAGCCCGGTTGATAATAGGTAGTCAGAATACCTATGGCTGAAATAAAATGAGTCCGGTTGCATTTTCAAACACTTGTTTGGTAAGGATAGAAAAGAGCCAGTAGCACTTGACTTGGGTGCACAGTAAGAACAGTGACCACTGTCCTGTAAACCCAGGTGTCTCGGATTCTGGTTTAGAATCAGTTAGGATCCAGGAGTACTTGGCTACAAAAACCCGAGCACCTCTTACAAAGAAGCGTCATAGCAGAATTCCCAGTGTGGATCTGTCCACGCTGGACAGCTAACTGAACAAAGCCAATGACAACAGAACGTGTCCACTGTCGTCTGCAAGTGTATATATGTGGTGCACCACACACACGCACACTCGCATACACATAACCGTGGAGCACACACGTCATTTCTTTTTCTCTTTTGGGTTTTTAAATGCTTTCCCAAATGTCTTCCTTAATCTTGAATTAATTTTATTTAATATGTAAGTTTAAAAAAAAATGCCAAACAACTCACCGCAAATCGAGTTAGGATGTAGGCGCCTGCTCCTGTCCCCATGCCTATGATGCTTTTCAGCCTGGAAGCAGAAAGAAAAATGCATGTCACGGAAGGAGAGCATGGCAGGAGCCCTGACAACCCGCGCAGGACTTCCTGAGGGTGGCTGGCTGGCTGGGCAAGGCAGGAACACCCGAGCCGCGCTGTGCTTTATGACTGCACAGAGACCATGACCTTGGAGAAACTCGCCCCTTCTCCTTCCTTCCCTCCTGGCTGCCACCCAGGCTCCGAGACACCATCTGACATTTACAGGAAGACCCATTACGGCATCGCTTCTTCCCACTCGTAAGCTTTATTTTGGACTCTAAAACTTGGAATGAAAATAGATTGGGCAAGAACCATGAGGTATTATTATCATTACATAAAGGGCCCTCAAAAGAGAGGAGAGCTGGAAAAATGAGGGTCTGAAAAGAGAAGCTAAGGTCGCAGGCAGCCCTGTTCCAGAACATTCCATCAGGAGGAGAAGGGAATGGAAGAACAGGAGGGAGCATGGGGCGGGCGGGGTGGCTGCCGTCACGTAGTGCACCGTGCTGGCTGAGGAAGAGGCGCTGAAGTTACGGGAGGCAGCCTGCAGCACAGAGACTGCGCAGAGAGCAGCGTTTACAAAGTGCGACGGCTCATTTCTTTAAACTCCCACCTAAATTTCAGTGGTCAGGCCAGATCAAACGAAGGGAGAGGAGGAAGCTAGAACCACCCTTCTCTGCAGACTGTGGGGGCGCGTCGATCCCTCGCTCTTACCCAAATTGTTGAAGGACTCCGGGAAGCATCTCGGCCAGCTGATCCATGGAGGGGTACATGTACCTGCGGAAGACGCAGAGAGCAGTTGGGGAGAGCCCGGATGCTGGCAGAAAGGGGTGATCCAAACGGGGACGCGCTTGAGGGTCACAGGCCACACAACCAGTCCTCCCCGTGCACCCAGGCTCCCCGTCTGGTCCCCTCTCCCCCTCCTGCTGAGGTCCCCACGGCGCACCCTAACTGTGAGCTGCTTCCTGTGTGCCAGGACCCATGCAAGCATTGATGAGCATTTTCAGCTCATTAAATCCTCACAGTAGCTCCATGAGTTCCCCCAGTATCAAGATTACAAATATCACTGAGGCTCAGAGATAAGCCGCGTGGCCTCAGGAGACCAACGGGTGGAGAGCCAGAAACAGCTGTCCTCTGTGTGTGTGTCTGGCTTCCGGTCTGGGATGTTGCAGGACTGGGGATGACACTGCCCAGCCGGAACATGTCACAGTTCCAACCCCATGGAGGAGGAACTAAAACACGCATGAGAGAATAACGTCGACACAGCATAGTGGCTGGTCCTCACCCGTGCCGGGGTCTTGGGGAGGCACTGGAGAGGCGGTGAGCAAAGCAGACGCTGCCCGCGCAGGAGCCAGCCGTGAGTCCCCAGAGACTAGGGAGTGCGACTTACAAGGAAGGCTACACAGGGAGGGCAGAGTGCTCCAGGGGAGACAGAAGCAGGGAGACCTGAGTGAGCAAGTGGTCAGGGAAGTCTTCTTGGAAGAAGTGGCATTGAAGGGGCCGTGGGAGCCCGATGAGTGAAGAGTGTGGGACACATATTCTAGTCAGGTAACCAGCATGTACAAAAGCCCCAGAAAGAGCTGGAAAAAGCCTATATGGTGTGGCTCGGCATACGTGCAGCCATTGAGCTGAGCGAGCTCTAGGGGAGACTAGTGGCAAAGGCATCAGGCCCCTCTGGAGTGGCCGTGCAGCCCCGCAGTGTGACGCTGGAGAAGCTTGGGGGCTCTGCTTGCTCCCTGCTCCCCAGGGCGGGGTGCACGGCCAGGAGGCAACTGCAATCCACTCACAAGGCCCCTCCCGTGTGGGGTGTGGGAAGCGGACTCAGAGCTAGGAGGAGCCCAGCCAGGAGTCAGCGTGGAGGGGGCTCACCCTCAGAGGGCCTGGGCCACCCCCAAACCAGGAACCCCACCCCACCCTCTGCAAGAGGCAGAAATAAGCCAGGTCCTGTTTGGACGGCAGCTCCCACCAGCCGCACACTCCAATCACCCGGTAAACCTGGGGACACCACCCTGCACTTTGCCTCCAGGTCAGCCAAACACAAATTCCTGGGGGTGGGGCCCAGGCCCCAGAATATTTTTAAAACTTCTCCAGGGGGAGCCAAGAGCTTCTGCTTCATGCCAAATCTTTCAAACAGTTGGTCCAAGCACACAGATTTACTGACACGCCTCTGGCTTTATCTGCTGGTAAACGATTAACCATGTCCTACTGTTTTAATAAGCTTTCGATTTTTGGTCCTGGCCTCGTGTGGCTGGGTGTCCCTTTTCTTGCTCTCTGATAAAGGTTAATTATTAAGGATAATTCTGAATGCTAATCAACAAAACTTATCTATTTGTAAATGCCAAGAAGGTTCCTCTTGGAAGACTTTAAACCCAGGAACTTTCTCCTGCCCTGGTTTAATCGCAGCATCAGGTACGTGGAGAGCAGTGGGGAAGACAGAGGGCATCTCTGGGATCTGCCTGAGTGTTGCTGATTTGGGGGAGGGGTCAGCCCCCAATCTGACTACAGATTGCATGACAGAAACCGAAAGGCCACGCCCCAATGCCATCGCACGCTGAGAAGGGCCAGGGAGTATAAACACCTCCCAGTAAGGTGGTCTGATGTTCCAAGGAGAATATGAGTCTTGGAGTCGGCAGACTAGGGTTAAAGCCTGACCCTCCCAATTCTCAGCTGTGCAACCTTGAGCTAAGTAGTTAAGGCCTCTATGCCTCAGTTTCTTCATCTGGAAAATGGAGCTAACAACGCCAGCCACACATAGCCACAAGGATTAAGTGAAAACTACTTTTTTAAAAAAATAAAAATGATTGACCCTGGCTCATAGTTAGTACTCCATCAACAATGATCTCTCTCCCTCTCCTTTTCTTCACGACTTTCTAGGTTTTTCTCCTCACTCTTTGGTCACATCAAGGTCCTCTCCCACTTCAGTCCAGGTTGAGCATGCCTGTTATAAAGCCAGCCTTGCAGAAAGGATGGGGGAACGGGAAGATAACGTCTAATGGGCTTGGAGTCTCAGATTGGGAAGAGGAAAAGTCCTGGGGACGGAGGGTGATGATGGCTGCACAGCCCTGTCTGAACGTACTTAATGCCACTGAACTGTATACTTAGAAATGCTACATTTTATGTTATATCTATTTTATCACAATAAAAAATGGTTAAGATAATGAATTTTATATTTTACGGTGATAACACCCCCCTCCCCAGGCTCTACCATGCAGGGCTCCCGGGCAGAAGACGCCTTCTCTCACCCCATGGGGAAGGAGGCAGCGCCGTCCTGCTGGCCCGGGGCATCCACGTGGCAGACAGCAAAGTGCTGGGTGATCTCTTGCATGTCCTCGTAGTTGAAGAGGGGGTTGTAGCAGGTTTTGTCTGAAGAACGGGCAGGGGAGAGAGATGAGAAAAAGTTAGATGGCTCAGTGGCAAAGCACACTCATTTTGTTAGTTTCACTCCTTTTCAGCAGGGAGAAATGAACTTAGAAGGAGGAATGCAGATCTTTGTTTTCCCATTCCGACTTTCCTTCTGTGATAAAAGGCAAGGATAAGTGACGGGGCAGGGGAGTGGTATCTGGCAGATGAACTTGCATTGGTGCTGGGAGGGGCCCCTGGTCTGGCTCCTGCTGGTTTCCTGACAGCGACAGCTCTAATGGCCCCAGAATGAGGTGCAGTTGCTCCACCAATATTCTCTTTCTCTCTGGATCTGCTGAACTCTCACATCTAGGGCACTGGCCAGGGCACACGTAAGTTTCAAACAAGGAGGAGCACGGTAGGTAAAGCATAGATCCTCCTCTCGTGTGGCCTTGGAGGAGTCTTCTAATTTCTAAGGGCCTGTGGCAAAGACACCCAGCTGCTCACCCAACCACATCTGCTTTCCTCCTAGGCACATAGCTGGACTACATTTCCCAGGCTCCCTTGCATTAAGAGATAGCCACATGATCAGCCTCTGGCCAATCGTGTGAGAGTCTCACCATTTTCTCACAACACCTGCCACCCAATCCTCTAAGTTGCTCTCTTTTCTCCCATCTACCTGCCAGATGCTATGTTGCCAGCAGAAGCTTCTGGGGCTCTGGGGGATGGCAGAGCCACAATCTAGAGAGAGCCTGGGTCCCTGAATTGCCACATGGAATGTGTCCCAATGAACGTCCACTGAATTGTTACAGGAGTGAGAAGTAAACATACATTGTGTTAAGCCATGGAGGGCTTGGGGTCTTTTGTTATAGCAGTTAGCCTACTGGAACCAACAATGAGTCTCTCCAAATGGGGGAATAGCACCGCCATATGCAATCCCATTTCCTTGTCAGAGTCACTGAAATGAGATGATGGATATCCAAATACCTAGCATGGGGCCTGGTGCATAATGGATACAGGGGGAAACAGGGGAAGAAGAGAGATAAAAGAAAAGTGGGAATGAAGGAAAAAGGTAGTTTTCAGTGACTCAAATCATCCCCAGACTCAAGGTATTAATTAATAATCTTTATGGACAAAAAAGAAAATCGGCTGTCAAAAATCAAGCAAGCATCAGGCTCGCAACACTCAAGTTCATAAAGATTTCTACACCAGAAAGGCCTGTAAGTGCCATCTGAACCATCATGGAGAGAGTCACCTCTACTCCAAGTCATTTTAATATTAAGTAGATCCTATTCCATTCCCAGCTATGAAAAATGGGGAACCTACGTATGGAAACCCTTCCTGGTCCTCTTAAGAATTCACTGTCTAAACATTCATAGCAGCGTTACTCATAATAGCTGAAAAGTGGAAACCACCCAAATGTCCACTGTCTAAAGAATGAATAAACAAAATGCAGTCCATCCATACAATGGAACATTATTCCGCAGCAAAAGAATGAAATACTGATTCATGCTACACCATGGATAAACCTTGAAAACATTAAGAAAGAAACCAGTCACAAAAAATTGATGTATTATTCTGTTTCTATAAAATTCCAGATTAGGCAAATTCACAGAGAAGGAAAGCAGAGGAGGGGTTGGTCTCTGGCAACCCCTGGTTGGAAGATTGGGGGCTGCAGACAAAGGGTAAGGATTTCTTTATGGAGCACTGAAAATGTTCTAAAATTCACTGTGTTGACAGTTACACACGCTGTGAAAACACTAAACAGCGTCTGTACGTATTAAAAGTCTCTGTCACAGACAGACAGACACCCTGTGTCCCAGCACCTCCGGGCACACGGACAACTCGTGCCCACACGCAGTGCATTTCTGGCTTTTCCAGGCTGCGTCCAGAGTTCTTCCCAGAACAGCTCCAGGAAGCCCCAGAAAAAAAAGAAACAGCTCCCAGCCACCAGCCCTTCCTGGCTGCCTTTCTCCTCTACTGTCTTGGGAATCGGCTGCGCAGGGAACCGCGGCGCCTCAGAACTTACGGTTCATGCCAATGTCGTGGTACGTGAGGATGACGGGCCGGTTCCCCTTGGGGGTCCCACACAGCGTGACGTGGATGGAGCCGTGTAAAGTCTCGATGTCCTGCTCCTGAGGAAAGAGAGCAGACAAAGGGCCTGTCATGTGGGGTTCACGGTGCCCCTGTGGCTGTATTTACTGACTACAGACATCCTGCGTGTTTCCAGCGGTGTTTTGAGGGAGCTCATTTCCCATGTGGCCGCCAGAGCCTTGGGTTTTCAGGCAGCAGAGCTCTCTGCCCAGCAGGAGGGAGGGAAAGGGAGGCAGAGCTCCACCAGGAGGCAGAGGACAGAGGCCCGGTTCAGACGGTGCAGTTAACTGCGCGGCCCTCCGGGGAGGCCAGCCCCAGCAGCCTTCCCCGCTCAGGACTTCGCTTGCTCCGTCTGGGAAATGGAGCCCGGCTGGCCTGATTTTTCTGGTCACCTGCTTCCATGCCTCACCTCCCCAGGTTACTGGACCTGGGAGGGACATCAGCTGGCTCGGGGCCACCCAGAACTCACTCCCTACTTCCGAGGACAGCCCCCAATTCCCTCTGGGAACCACCCCTCTCACAGTCAGTCCTAGGAGGTCTGTTGACACTGACCACCACACCATGTTCCACAAGCTGAGGCCAATTCCTGACCTCCTCCTCCCAGGTGCAAGGACTAGGTCTGGGAAGGACACAGGAGCTGGCTCCTGCCAATGATAGCCAACCACACTCACTTCTAGCTATTGGGGAACCCGACTGGACTTGACTTAACAAGGGTTGGATCTGCAGCAGCCACACTGTTAATATGAGGCAAGGGCCTGCCTGAAAATCTAGCCAGCCCAGAGATGGAAAAGACACAAGGGAGGTCTGGGCAATGGGATGTTCCATTACATGGGCCAACAATTTCCCAACTCACGTAAGCCAAAGAATCCTAAATTATACTATATCCATCCTCCCTTCTCAGGAGCCAGGGGGTTCTCCTCCTGGTCAAGACCAACTCTCCAGGCCATGTTCCTCAAGCCAGCTCACTCAGCCAGTCATCCCCCCATCTCTCCACACTAAACCTTCCAAGGCTCCTTCCTGAGAGCTGAAGCCATGCTCCTCTTTCTTCCTCCTGAAGTAGTCACCCTGCCTTGGTTCCAAGTGCCTCAACACATTCAGGGACCAGTTTTTCACCTGCCCAGTTAATCTAAACTTCTCAAGAGGGTGGTCGTGAGCTTTTCTCAATCATCATTCCACTGACCCTTGAACCCATGCCTGCCCTGGGTTCCTGCCTTCCTCGGGGTCACCCAGAAGCTCCCAAGGCCCAGAGTGACTTCCATGTCTGAGAGCAGTGACCTCCCAGTGAAAGGCCCCCACTCTGGGCTCTCCCCACACCGGGGCTAGCAGGGGAGGCAGCACCCCCAGCCTGCAGAGGACAGGTCACCAAGGCTGTCCGGGTGCCGGGAGCAGTGCTGAACCACGTCCCTCCATGTCCCTCACCCCTCACAAGAGCCCTGCCAGAGCCGTGGGACCCACGCCGGCTCAGGGAAGTGAAGTCAGCGGCCCAGAGCAGCACAGACAGGAAGCGGCCAAGGCAGACCCCCAGACAGTTGGCCCCACCGCAGCCCCTACACTCCTCAGTGCTTTGCCCCCCAAGGGAGAGGCTCAGGCTCAGGCCTCGGGAGGCCACTCAGGTCAGCAGGGGGCATTTATTTTCCAAAGTGTCAATGAGGCATCGTAGTGGGATATGGAACACTCGGATGCCGACAAACCTGCTTCCAGAAGCCAGCTGAAATGTGACCCATGTCGGTCACGGCCCGGGGCCACATGGCAGGAGAGAGGAAGGTCTGTGCTCACAACCTCGCTCGAGAAGAAGAGGGGTGGGACAGACTGTCCCCTCAGGAGCCCTGTGGGGGCCAAGTGACCCCCTCCCCAGCCCATACCTGTGAAATGAGGACAAGCCCAGACCCCGCCTACCTCCTGGGAATGTTGGAGACCCACAGGACTCAGCAGGTGGCCTGTGCCCACGAGTCCAGGGCTCCCGGCCTGCGAGTGAACCCCGAGAGGTGGTGTCTACACAGGCTAGGGACCAGATCCTACCTCTGCTACTTCTTACTTCGGAAACTTAAGCCAGTACCATTCCACCCCACACGCATTTATTAGGCACCTGTTGTACGCCAGATCCCCTTAGTCCCTTGAGGGATGAGGAGATAAGAACTCACAAGCTGGTGAGAAGTGGATTCAACCCCCCAGGGTTGGGAGCCAGACCAGGAGAGGCTCCCGGTGCCATGAGACCAATGATTCTCAAGCTGGGGAACTGACTCACAAAGAAAACGTGCAGCCCAGCTCTGCTGTTGTGTTTTTACCGAGGATTCGAGCCTTCCCCATCCCAGGCAGACATGCGGGGGTTCCGGCCCTCACTCTGAGACGCCTGCAGCCAGCAAAACCCAGACCACTGACATGCCTCTGTGGAAACCTCACAGGGATGGGGAGGGGTTGCAAGGTGATGGTGGTGTCATAAACGGTCACAGCATGGGCTCTCTAGCAGTGCCCAGGTCCGCCCAGCAACGGGTCCTCCTGAGCCACCTCCTGACCACCCCAACAAGATGAGGCCCTGGAACACAGAGCTTATCCCAGTTCCCTGCCCCCTCTCTCCCCCTCAGGGCCCAACACTTCTTTCCTGCCCATAAAAAGGCTGGAAAAATCCATAGAGGACAGAGCAATGCCCCAGAGGGGGCCGGGATCATCTGCTGGGCCTGCCTGGCCCTGGAGCCACCATAGGGACAATGGCCCATTGTGGGGGCACATTCTTCATTGTCTCCCAGCTGACCCACATGGCTCCCTCTAAAAATAGGCCAGGACAGGCAGTGTCCCCAGCGCCTGTGGACGTCAGGGCTCAAACGCAAGCCCTACCCTTCCCGAGCCCTCTGAGACTCCAGGTCTCACCTCTGAGACAGGAAAGAGCTTCCTCCACCTGCTCCTTAGGAGGGGAAGGACGCGCCACCGAGCAGAGGCCGGAGCAGAGCGCCAAACAGTGCATGCAGCAGAGGGTATTAATGGGGCGGCAGCCACGGGACACCCAGCCCCGGCTGGCACCAAGAATGTCCCTGGCAACTCCCTCAGGTGGGAAGGGGTCAACACCTCTTGGTGTTGACCCATCTCTTTGGAAGCCTTAAGACTACACAGCTATGGAACCAGAATGACATTTGAGGGTCCAACCCCTAAATTCAGGAAGAAGAGGCTACCCGGGTCTTGTTCACTGTGATGCTCAGTGTCTGCTGGATGAAAGATCTGATGAGATCTGAGCCTGGTCCAATAAAGGCAAGCGTTAGCCCCTAGGAAGGAACATGCTCTACTCGGCCCTCCCCTGGGACTGGCGACAGCCTCACAGAGCATCAGTGCTTCACCCTCACGAGGACCACTCGAGCGTGATTACCATGGCCCTGCCTCAGCGCTGCCCTGACCCTCAGCCCGGCAGGTCTCGGAGAAGAGGCATTCCACATCAGTAGCCTCATCAGGAAGGCGAAGACCCAGCCTCAGAAAGTGGCAGTGACATGGTGAGGGGCACACAGGTGCGGGGCTGCCTGGAGTCGTAGGTGAGCACAGATGAGGGAGATGTGCTAAGCTAAGCGCCCACCAAGAGTCAGGCAGGGAAGCCTATCAACGCGTTTTCACAGGTGCAGAAACTGAGGTGACTTCCCCCAGGTCAGCTTATAGTGGCAGAACCAGGATTGGAGCCCTCATATGCTGGGGGTCTATAGGACCCCTTCCACCCTCCTCTCAGTTCCCGGCCCACCAGCCCGCGCAGGAAGGAGAAGGAAAAGCAAGTGTCATGTGTCTTCCCCTCATGCCCCAGTCCCATCCCCTAAGTCTCTCTCTCTCTCTCTCTCTGTCTCTCTCTCTCTCTCTCTCTCACACACACACACACACACACTCACACACACACACACACACACACACACACACACACACACACACGTGCATGCACATGCACCTCTAAGCCAGCTCTGGTGCTCTTTCCCCATTGGGCAAAACTGAGAAGACTGTGTCTGAGATTGAATGGGAGAATTAAAACACAAACACATGCCTTTGTCTGCTTCAGTCCCCAAAGAACATTCTGTCTTTCTTTCCCCGTGGGGATGAATCACCCAGTGTTCTGGAGACAGGAGCCCATCCCGTGTCCCCCATGTTTTCCCAAAAAGAAGGTGCAGGGAACCCAGAGTGTCAGAACCGCATGTGCACTCCCATCCTCTTGCCTGAGAGAGGAAAGTCCCCTGTTCCAGGGCTCATCGGGGGCACCCTCTGGCTGTCACGGTGGCTCGGGACACACACACCTGCTCCTCCACCACGAAGAACCCAGGCTCAGCTCTCCCACAGCCAGAACCAGACCACGAGGACCTTGCCCGTGGGGGTCCGACCCAGCCAGGCGGGTGCGAGAGAGAAATACCCAGCCTGCACGTGTCTTTCTCTCTGGACGAGTCTAGAAAGCCACTCTCTCGAGGTTCCCAGGTGACAGCAGCAACGGGGACAGTAATAATTGTATTAGCCACTGCCTCTTGCTCTAGGCCTGCCCCGATCATCACGTGTTTTCTTGTCAAGTCCTCACAACAACCCTACTGGGTAACAACATCCACACTGTGCAGATGAGAAAACTTAGGCTGAGAGAGGTGAAGTACTTTGCCCAAGGTCACACTGCTGGGACGGTGCAGCAGAATGTGAACCAACCTTGGATTTGGGCAGTCCAAGCGCAAAGCCTGCTCTCTCTAACGTCCCTGTTTTACACCGTGTGCCGGGAGGAGGAGTTAAGGAAACCTTTCTACGCAACGTGCACTGAGACTCCCTATGGAGCATGCAGTAAATCGGGTCCCCACATTGATTTGACTGCAGATGACTTTTTACCTCCCAGCAGCTCCGAGGTCTACCAATGCATGCAGCACATCCTGGGTTACGCTATCATACAGAACAGAGAAATAGTATCTGTTCCTCCCATTCTCATAAAACGTGCATCTGCCTTCAGACTGCAGGCATGTGTGTCTTTGTGTGTCAGACTTGGAAGGGCCTCAACACAAACCTCACCTTCTCAGGGAGGCCCTTTCTGCCACCATACACAACACACGGTCCCATGTTCCCTTCTTTAAGGCAGCACCGAGCACGGTTCCAAATATCTGTGTAAGAGCTGCCTCCCCAACCAGACTGCCAATTCCCAGAGGGAAAGGCTGGCTCTGCTGCAGACAGGGTCTGGCCCAGAGGGTGCACTTAGAGAGTTACACAGTCTACACCGCCTGCAAGCTGGCAAGTGGGGAAATCGCACCTATCACTAAGTATTCCTTAAAGATTTCATCTCTTTAGCTGCCAATCCTGGCTTGTGAGCTTTATAAACTATGGCAGACTCTGTCGGTTGGCACCCCAAGCATCTGTTGTGCCCTTCTCTTTTATGACAGAATTCCAATTTTGTACAAGCAACCATGTGCTTGATAAAATTCTCCCCCGCCCTGTCTCCCTGAAGCCAAGGATGGTCAGGGACTCAGCTCTGACCACTGAGATACCCGCAGAACTTCCTGGGGCTTCGAGGAGAGTTTTTTTAAAGGGTTAAACTTGGCCTTTTGATTTTTTCCTTTTACCCTCCCACCTGCTTCCTACCTGGAAAATGGAAGAGATGCTCAGGGGGTTCCATGGCCAAACCCGAGGGCAAGAGCTACGTGCTCAGGATGACAGCAGGAAGCAGAAAGGACAAACTCCAGCTGGGCCGGGTGACATTCGTGGCCTGCTGTATTAGGCCTTCTAGGTCAATGGGCATAGCAAACATTTCCTTGTTTAGGGCAGTGTTTGTTGAATGCTATTAATTTTAACAATATACCCACCATATGCCTCTGGCCAGGTTGCTCTGAGTGCCCCTGCCACCCGTTGTAAGCTGAGGTCAGCAAGTGAACAAGCCCACCTGCTCCACGGAGCCCCTCCCAAGACTAGAACTGTGCGGCGGACCTGGACGTGATGTGCAAACTGCGGCGTTCCCACCATGTCGGGGGGTATGCACAAACATCCCAGAGATGCTAGCGTGCAGCCGCCCCGGCCAGCTCCACTGGCTTCAGTCCAGGGACTCTGAGACCAGCTGCGACTGCTCCTTCCGTAATCCCCTCCTGCCCAGCAGGCCTGGGCAGATACTGACCTAAGAGGATGACCGCTTACCCAGGCTCTTAGTGGGGCAGGGGAAAGCCCCTCCCACGGCAGAGCAGGGAGGGCACCCAGCGGGACAAGGGGCCAGGAAAGCTGATTTGGGCTAATCGGACCCAGCATTAAGTCAAGCCCTATGGAGGCAAGAAAGGGAAACCATAAGGGCAGAGGCTCAAGAGGAAATGCCGGGGGCTTGCCCTGCCGCTGTCTTTGCATAAAATGACGCGCCCCTCCCCCACATCGCCATGGTTCATCTCCTGAGCCCGCAGAGGAGGGGCAGGCCCGGCCTGGCATCCATCTCAGGACCCATTCCGCTACGTGCGGAGCGTGTACGGAATGTGGGATGACCAGGCAGAGGTGTGTGTGGGGAGAGACACACCAGTACTTGTTATAAGGACAGCCACCCCTTCACTGGGCATGTCCTATGAAGCCAGGCCTGGCCCCTGTACTGTCGTGACAGCCGTCTGACAGACAGCCCGTGGGGCCGAAGCGCAGGTGCCCCATGGCACACGCCTGTGGATAACGGCGTGATCCGGGGGCTTCCCCACACCTCACACAACGGAAGGTAAGACTTCAGACAGGTCAAGGTGGGCCTGCAGCTACTCAATTCATTCTTCAGTCTTCTTTAATATTGTCACCAAGCACATCAAGAAAAGTAAAAGAAATTACGGAGTCAGGAAACAGGCTGTCGTGGGCAGAGGGGTGTCAGCCTGGGATACGACATGAAACTGCAGCCCACGCTGAAGACCTCAGTTCTCCCAGGGAATGGGAATTAGGAGGAATGTCTTCCTTGGGTTAGGGAAAAGAGAAAGAGTGAACCAACTGCCATCCTGGAAGCAGGGGAGGGCCCAGTGCCCTGTGTGTTCCGTGTTCGAGACACGCTCCGAGACACTGAAGCTACCCCGTTTCACAGATTGGAAAACTAAGCCTCAGAGACGTCAAGCAGGCAGCCAAGGACACGTGGCTAGCAAATGACGGGGCAGATCTGGACCTGCTTCTGTTCACTGCACCCTTTCGGGGACACTGGGAGATGCCCGTGCCATCCTGAGGGGCCAGCCTGAGGGGCCCTGGCAGGACAGATCTTGGAGGCCGGGGCTGAGCCCCACGGTGGGTGCTGGGTGGGCGAGGTATCGTCTCCCCTCCTCTGGAGGGTGTTCCCAGGAAACCTACAGGGAGGGCAGGAGAGGCACCCCGGTTTTATTTTCCAAAGCCTCATTCTGCGCTGATCCAGATGAGTGCTCCTGCCATCTGTCACTCGGAGTTTGCTCTAAGTCCCAGTGGCTTTGCTAGGAAGTTGGGCCGGGGGAGGGGGAGGACGGGAAATGGTGGTTTGAGGATTTCCAGGCTTGTCTGAGTTCTGCCCACCTTCAGGCTGGGGGCAGGAAAACAAAAAGCAATTGTGTGGAAAGAAATTAGTAAAAGGTCACCATTTCCATTTTCTCTGTGAGCCGGTCTGCTTCCGAGAGAAAGGGAAACAAATCAGCCCGCCGACAGGAGCCGTACATCACCCGGTCCCGCTCAGCTCCCAGGCCCAGCCCGCCACCCCCTCACCCGGAGGC